CACTAAACAATAATGGTGAGCTTCCCTGCTTGTTTTTGAAACAAGAAAACAGGAAAAAAAGGTATGTTAAACTAGTTTTGGTATATGAAGTCAGACACAGCATGGGAAATTTAAAACTCTGCATGCTGCAATTTTGATCCTGAACTTTTATTCAAAGGCAACCCAAAAAGAGATCATGTCTTAAAATGTCTAACCTAACTTTTGCAGTTTGTTTCTTCGTTGTCCTTTATTTGCGTCACTAAGAGATCTGGAGAAATTGTACATGCTTTTATATAACTTTGATTACTCCGGGTAAATATTCTCCCAATGACTGATTTTGCATTTGCTCAGTAATTTACTGTACAATTTGAGCTGTATTGTTTTTCTAATTGTCATTACAGGAAATCAGGGACATTATGTGCTTCTTTAAAATATAAAAATACATTTTGAAACATAAAATTCTTTTACAAAAGTATATTGCAAAGTGAACTCAACTTCACATAAGTACCAAACCTGAATCTGTTTTGTCACCCTTCCAGTATTTAAGATCTATACTATGTCAGAAGTGAGTTCGATTCTTCACAGAAGAGTAACTGAGGATAACCAGTTATGGTGCCATTGCTGAAAGATGCACTGCGCAGTCTGTCACTGAATAGTCTGTCACAAGCCTTAATCATCAGCGCGTGATAGGGATACAGTGGTACACTCTGTCTCTGTCTCTTTCTCTCTCACGCACACACCAACTAACAGACTGCTTAGCACTTTTTTTTAATATTGGTGATTTCACAGAGTTCAAAACTTTTCATAGTGAATCAGGAACATTTTGTTAGTTTATTTCTTTGTATTACAAGTAGGCAATTAATTTTGCCAAGGGGCTACTGCCACCCACCCAATGGTTGCTGCCCAGAAAGGGAGAGTCAAGGAGTCAGATATGGCCTGTGGTTAACAAAGGCTGAATATCCATTCATTTTTGAAAGAGAAACAGCAGTAGAATTGGAATTAAAACTAAGTAAATATAAAATCGTAACTAAATATGAAAACAAGAAGGAATTCTAACTGGAATGATACGTGTGTGTGTGTGTGTGTGTGTGTGCATTTGTGTATGTGTGTGTGTGAGAGAGAGAAATCTTAGGAATTTATGAACATTTTAAGCATTTCTGTGCAATAATTCTGTATAATATAATGCAATATTTTATTTTATACAAAAAAGCAATCTAGTAAGAAAAATATGAGTTAAAATTGAGGTTCAGTTTGTCCTTAAAGAGTTTTTCAAGACTCTTTGTTCAGTTAATTTTTAAAGTGCAAGAGTTTCCTGTGTTTTTGAATCCCATTACATTACTCCAATGCAATATGTGATATTCATATAAAACATTAATGGAGGAGTTAAAATTATACAAAAACACTCCTAAGTACACCAAGATCAAAAAATGGCATATTTTGAAATATATAATGAGTAACAAGATGATTACAATCTTTCCTTGGAGCCTTTAATTTTGTGGCTTTTAACAAATAACTAATTACTGTGGGAAGTGATTTTTGGCTATTAAAAAGATACTTCTATAAGTGACAAGCATCTCTTACCATTTCCAGTTCTTTTAAGTTCCATTTCTTGCATATGAATTTTGCTTGGTGTCATTCGAATAGGAACAGGGTGAACAATAGCAGTATCCTAAAAAAGAAAGGGATTTGAAAGGGAACTATTTAAACCAATTATTCTATCCCGAATAGACTGGTTGCTATATACCATTTTATGTTAAAATTTGAAATATTAAACTATGTTATGTTAAAAATAAGAAATTACATGGACAAACTGGATTCAGTCTTACTACCCATATCCATTCCCATTTCCCTTTTTGTTGTTGCTTGCTCATGTGTTCCTTGGTTACTTTTTCCCTAAATATCCAGTTTTTCAATTTTTTGTATTCTCTTAAGAAGCAATCTACACTTAACTATTTCTTCTGATTATGTTGTCTACATAACGCTACTATCAAAAAGAGGCAAATCCACAAAGCAATAATTAAATTTTCTTTAATTTCATTTACAGGATTATCAGGAAATGCACTAATTGTGCTAGAGAAAGTAGTTTGACCTTTATGGCTTAGTGCCTATAATGAAATACAAACACACTATACGCAATGTAGGTACTATGTCTCTCTATAAATCTCTTTTTATAACTAAATAACTCAATAACATTAAAATTTTGCACATATACACACATTTGGGATCTTACATAGGGAGTATCAGCTCTTTTGCTGACATTGCACAACGGCACAGAACATTTCATTGGAAAAGCGAGTCTATTTTCCTCAATACCAAAGCAAAAGTGCATTGGTAGTTACTCGTAAACAAGTGTGAAACCTTCCAAAGCAGTTTTTATGCAACATTCTGCCCATAAACTGATAACATGTTCAGAAGCACATGCATCATATAGTGCCTAATAATTTACGCAGAGAGACAGGCATCAACTAGCTAGGCAGAAATACATTCCTACTTCAAAGAGAAAAAAAATGTTATATTTTTATTGTGCTTATTGATTTTGAAGAGCTAGCTATGGAAAAAAACTTGTTAGACAAAAGTTCAAAGAATCAAAGTAACGGAAGCAAAAATTTGCTACCTGTGATCTGAAGTAGCATAGCTACATTCAATATGGTAAATTGGAGGACTTCTAATAGAACAATAAATATTTCCATGTTCCAGAAAAAGTTTGTTGCTAAGCAACACTATTACATAAAATAAAGGGCTAAAGGGATTGTAAGATAATGGTTTCAAATATTTTAGTCTCTATTTCTGGTTCAGAACCCCTTTGCTTTCTTAAAAATGATTGAGGAACACAAAGAGCTTTGGTTTATGTGCCTTATATTTATTATGATTTACTGTATTAGAAATTAAAATGGAGACATTTTAAAATGTGCATTTATTTCACTTTGTGAGCCTTCTGAAAGGTTCTCAGGGACCTCCAGCCCACACTTTGAGAATCTCTGCTTTAGGGCACTGATTCTTGAATTGTTGAGGGCAGATTTTGAGCAGAAAGCACAAATTAGTTCAAAGCACTATTCTTATTATGGTTGGTTGCAGTCAGCCAAATGTTTAGATTGGATGTGGCATTATATCCACTTATCAAGTTCTTCCCAAGAACATGGGATAGGCGGATCTTGTTGTCTGATGGTGTTAAAGCTATGGTTGCAGTGTAAGCGGTTCTGAGTAAAACTGCCTTGTGTAATTAACTGACAGTGATTTTGTCAATACTGATGTATTCAAGTGGTGCTCCACATGTTTCGGGATTGCACCCAAGGCACATATTATTATTGATACTCTGTTTGTTTTCTTTTGCCTCACTTGTCCTACTTCTGTTAGCAGAATAGAAGATTTGTATTTTGTGATTTTCTTCCATTCTCTCTCTTCAATTTTAATGTCTCCAGGTATTGCAACATCCACTCTCCAGACTTCTTTGTCTTTCTTTTTAACAATGTTTAGGTCTGAGGTTTTATGTGGCATGTGCTTGTCTGTTTGAATTTAAAATTCCAGAGCACTTTAGCTTCTTCATTTTATTTTGTGGTTCCTTCAGTTCTTGCTTGCAGATAACTGGTATTGCCTGCAGAATTTCCAATGTACCATTGTTGCCACTTTGTCATCTTGCTATTTGTAGTCAATCTATATGATCTCTTTGCAACAGCTAATAATAGGTAGTCCACTGTTTCTTCAGCTTCTTTGCAGAGTTTGTTATTATTATTAGATTTTTATCTTTCTCCTTTTTATGTATGCCTTTTTATATGAATAAGATGCAAAGTTCTGAACAAGTTAGTTTGCTTCCATTAAGAACACAATAATCAACAAACCTGCAAACACAGGGGTTGTATGAAAACTTTTTATCTTAATTTTTTTTTCTTCCCGCTACTTATCCTGGTCTGAAGAAACAACTGACAAGTAACTTGTTCTTGATCTCTTTTAATGACAATGTGGACTTGTATTCCAATTTAGTCATTTCTAAGCATAGACTAGTGAATAACATATTTTCACTTCCCTTATCAAATAATCTCAAAGTGGGTTACATTGGATAAAGCACAAAATAAAAATATAGAATAAAAAGGTGATGCAAAGAAAAAAAGAATAGAAGCAAAAATCATTCATCCAATATTCAAATAAAGAAGGCGTGAGTGAAAATTTAAGTCTTTAAGAAGTGCTTCAAGTGTTTCTGAGGGAAATAAAGCTGAAACTGAATACTGATTCTGGATGCTTAACATCAGACTTTGGACAAGTAGCACTTCTGATGGAACTACGCTCTTCTTTAAAACAAGCAGACAATCTGGGGTAGCCTTGGATCACTACTGATACTGTATTGACATATTTACACAAATTGCAAAGAGGCCCTTTATCAGCTCTGGATCTGATGATTCATGAACTAATAACAGCAGGCTGGACTATTCCAATGTGTGGCAGCTCTTGAGGATGATTAAAATATTGCAAGTGGCTGAGTGTAGTAGCACAATTGCAGCACAATTTGTGAGTGGTGCCTCCTAGAGATTCCCATTATCCTATTAATAAAGCAATCTCTTTCCTGATTGATTGTTGTCTGAGTCCAATTCAAGGTGCTCATAAACATGTATAAATATTTATAAGCTTATAGCTAAACTATTACAGAACTGACGACTTCTCTATAATCTGCAACATACACTCTGGTCATCAATGGAGCATTTTTTGTGGTTCCTCCCCATATACCAGTGGTGGCGAACCTATGGCACGCATGCCAGAGGCAGCACTCAGAGCCCTCTCTGTGGGCAAGCACACGGTCGCCCCAGCCGCACCTCCCCCTGTGGTCCCCTCCTCACCAGCAGCCCGGAGGAGAATCGCCCCTGAACAGCGCAGCCAAGGACATGGCAGCTGGGCAGTGGGGATAAGACACTGCACTCACGCCCCGTCACGCACAGATGATGTTGCGGGCGGAGGGCGGGGCTGCCATGGCGATCTGTGGCGGGCCGTGGAGGTGGTGGGTGGCCCTGTGGGTGGGCGGGGTGGGGGCAGAGCAGGGACGGGCTGAGGGCCGGGGCGAAGCGGGGGCGGTTTTGGGGCACTTGGTCTCTAAAAGGTTCACCATCACTGCTATATACATTTGACAACAATAAATTCTGAGAAATAATATGAGGGGAAATATTGGTTCTTTGAGGATAAGTTATTATGTTTAGTCTAGCTTTCTTGTGTGCAAGATCATATGATGAAGCATGTGTGCCTGACAGTGCCTATGGCATCCATGTATTTCCACAAACAGTGAAGAATGTGGGAAAAGTAAAGATTTAAATTATGTAATTATGAAACATGTCTACGAAGGGCGTATGCATGTAAGAAGCTTTTGGGTGTAACAGAAAGAGAACTGGATCCAGAAAAACCAGATGGTCCTGGATGTCTATGTTCACAGTAGATTTTGTCAAGTCACAATTTTTACTCATTTTATTTCCAACACATTTATCAATAAAAACATAGTAAAATGTTTTACCATCTTTTAAAAAAATCAGAGTTAAATAAAAATCTCAAAATATTGGAGCAAATATTAGAAAAGAACAGACCACTTTTAAAATATTCCATTTTAGTCGTAGTGATAGACAATGTAATGAATTTTAAAGCAGATCGAATTATTAAATCGTTTACCATTCCCCACTTTAGAATCACACATTAAACATGCAAAACCAAAACAATTAATGAAAATTTGGAGTTAATAAAATTAATTTCAAAGAAGCAAGCTAAGTGATTGACTTACAGGATCAGCTGGTGCAATATTAGAATCAAATTGGGTCAGAGTTTGTGAGCTGGAAGAGCGTTCACTAAATGTCTCCCACTGCTAAACAGACAGAGGAGAGACAAAATGAGAATAGAGTCATCCCTGGAGAAGATTTAGCATAGTTCAGAGATTGGAATGGCAGTTGCTTTTCTTGGGGGGGGGGGGGGGAAGCCAAAATATACATTTCAACAGTTTTCAGATTTTGTCTTGCAAAATCTTTTAAATCAACGTGAAATATTGTACAGATTAAACAAATCAATTTGAAAGTGAAAGTCAGCATATTGATTGAGAAATTTTTAACAAAATCAAACTATACAAAACAGAGGCTTTTAAGTCACTGCTGCTATTGCTACCAATATGTAAGATTCCTTGTCTTTCTAGAATCTTTTGTTTTATTTCATTTAAATGAAAATTAATATAATTTTTCTTCACATAAAATCAGAAATAAAATTTATCTTTATATTAGAAAAAAATGAAAGAATCACATGCAAATTGCCATTGCTATACCTGAAAACATAATAAAGTACATTTTATACATAAATTAAATATATATTTGACAATTGAAATAACGCAAAGTCAAACTATTCAATGTAAAAGGAAAACTGCTTTGGCAATCATTTCAGTAAGATCCAAGACATGCCCTGTTGAAATATATAACTGCTAATGCTTTTTTTTTTTTTCATGCATAAACTATGACACAGGCAAAACAGAAATAATCAGGTTTCCGAGCAATGAAGGATTTGGTCTAAGATTCAATGTTCAAGATTACTTCATGGAATGAAATGTTAATGTCTCTGTTAGTGGAATGGTGAGTTAATTATTAGACATATCAAACATTTAAACAAACGGACTGCATATGTTTTCCTAGCAAATCAGGAGCTGCTAATGCTGCATAGCTGGGAGAGAGCTTAGCTGATCACAAGGGCTGGACCTAGTTAGAGAAACAGTTGCTCTTGGATAAATAAATTAAATCTAGCTGGGAGAGTGTACAAAGTAAAGTTAATGAGGATAATATTGGTACATGTTGTTCTGTCATTAGTAAGAACGCTAAAATCTAATATATCTTATATGAACATTTTGAAGAATTTCAGAAATTTAAAAAATCCAGAGATAATGATGTAGAAATCTAATGTACCATATAATGCAAACATGTCAAACTCGCGACGTCATGTGACGTCACGCAACATATTGGAGCTTTTTCGCCATTGACGGCAATGGGGTGGGCGCGGCTCCGGTATGATGAAACTGGCCTGTGGGCCGGCAGTTTGACACCCCTGATATAGTGGATTTCTTTTTTTAAAAAAAATTATACAGTATTAGATATAATGGACAGAATTCAAAGAACCATGAGCAAGACTAACAAATAAAACTTTCGTGTTTCTTCAGTAGCAACTTCTTAAACTTAATTTGGCGTGTTTGAAAAGCAATCTGCAATTTGTACAAAGAATTCTCTGGGAACTGTAAAATGTCCTTGCATGAATCATATATTCTGATATTATCCAGTATTGTTTGTCTGTTTATATATATTATCTTTTGTATAATCTAAGATTTTTATGGTGAGTAGAAAGCAGTTCAGTACCTCCCCCGACTTTTCCAGGATAAAACTAGGAACTTAGCAAGTAGCAAACAACTTTCTACTGACAAGCAGAACACTGGAATGAAATTTGATATACATCAAAGGTCTCAACTGCAGTCGCTGTAATCCTCTCTAATTTCCACTGGACTTCATGCTTCCATGATGATGCCAGCCTGTTTTTATTGCCCCACTTGTGTTATCAATTTAATATACAAAGGACCTTATGGCATTTGACTATAGGCAGTGCTGCCTTATTTTACTGAGCCTCTTCACATTTGGTGCCTACTAATTTCTGATATGTATTGTATTAATGGGGTCCAACTCTGCAAGATAATTTTTAAAGCTGTTGATATATCTCATCCATTAAGAGTGAATTAATGTGGGGAAGGTTTCTAGCTAGATTTTTGACTGTTCACTATTGTAGCAATCTAATTATATTGACTTTAATATTTTATTTGATTTTAATTGTACTGATTTTACCATTATTTTTCTATATTTCATATTATTAATTATTGTAAGTCATCTAGAAAGTTTACACACATAAAAAGCAGGACATAGATTTAACTGATAAATAAATAATACATTTCTTGAGACCAAGAGACTGGAAGAAGTAATTTGTTGAGCTAGTGATGAAGTTTTTAGGGGATCAACATAAACCAACAAATAGTAGATTTATGGTTTTCTGAACTGATTTTTAGAGTCAGAACAGAATATTATGAGCTCAAAACTAGTCATCCTAAATATTTCAAATCTGAAATAAAACACTCATGTTTTGGAGATTTTGCTCCAGCTTGCTCCAAAACACATTGGCTCTTTTGAATAATTCTGGATGTACTAGGTATTAGGACTGGCCTCTTTTATTGGGATCCCCGCCCCATTTTCTGCCACCAATGTTTCCAACCTAACAAGAACTCTGGTTCCATCTCTGCTGCTAAAGGCCAGAAGAATGTGACCAAAGGTCTAACTGGAGATTGCCACCTAATGTTTTGGGGTTATAGGAATCTAGTTGCCTATGTCAACAAAGAGCACATTCTCTCTACATACTGCTGCAATAATGTGTTTTCTTTTGTTTTCAAATGGTGTAGCATCCAATAAGTTAGCCACATCCCCCTTTAATTTTCAATATATCCTCTGTTTCCCTCCAGAAGCAACCCAAGTACTAGATTCATTCTGACAGAAATTAGCAATATCAGACAGCAAGGGAGCCAGCAGGGTGGAATGGAGAAAAAGACAGGCTGCAGCATTCCTCTGGTCAATTGTAAGGGTGGATAGATTGCCAAAAGTCTGAATTTCATTCACATGACCGTGGAGGCGCTGCAGTGGTAGTAACTTTGGGTAGCAATCAACTCTTCATTGAATGCCATCATATTTCAAACGGTCACTGTATTTGCTTAGACTGCTGAGCCATCTAATTAGCCAATGGTTGTAATGAAGGTTTGTATGTTGTTGTTGTTTTTCTCTTTAGGGTTTGGGCCTTTATTTCCCATTTTTTGTTGCCCCAAAATGGAGACAGGCAACCTTTTCAAGACCAGTGGACACAGTTGGAATTTTGAGCTAATACAGAGGACAAACTCAAAAAATGACTTTTTAGAGAATAATTGGTAAAATTGTTATCAGCTTCCCATTTCTAGACCCTCAGAATGTTCTCTACCATATCTATTATTAAATTAATCTAAAAAAATAATACATTCAGGTGGGATAGAGAGCTGATAGGTAGACCTGCTCATAGATATCACCTATCCATTGATACTCCACAGGTTCAAGCCATAACCTGTAATGGCAACAGCAGAGATCCAAAAGTGGTTAAATATAAGGTAAATTTTCATAGTGGTAACTGCTATTTGGCATTAAAACTATTTAGTTTGAGATAGTGCAGAAACCTATAACACTAACCACTGCTTGGACTAGGAGATCCTTGTAATTCTGAATTCTAATATAACTGGCCTATGGAAAGACATATACAAATATTTATTTGACTTGCGAGTAGCAAATAATTTTTGAAAAGACAAATATTTAGCACCACATTAATATATTTTGCAATACAAGCATTGCCCAAGCTATTTAATGTTCTAAATAATTTCTGCCTTACCAATTTCACTCAGATACTTTCAGCTTCCAGAAAAGGTTCAGGAAATTCAGAATTGAATGAAATTCAGAAATTTCATTGAAGACATAAAACTTCCAGCTTCCAAATGATAAGCTGAAACTTATCTCTAAAACTCCACTAAAAGCAGGAGCTGACGCCGATCAAATAAAGAGCTAGTTAAGTAGACCAGATCTTTGTAATTTTTCTCTGGACAAGAAATTGACAAGTTCTCCAGACAGTTGTTCCCCATGAAGAGACTGCAATGGATTTAGAAGCTCTCGGAGGTGAAGGGATAGCCAACTTGCTCAAACTGTGTTTGGCACCTTTGAAAGACACTGAGTTTGCATACATCTTTTCCAACAACTTTCAAAAATTGCTTGTTAATTCAGCCACTGACTTACAGGTTAATTTATTGCAACAGGTTAGCAAAAGAAATTTTAAATAGACTTTTAAAGAACTTTTTTTGAATAAATAGCAAAAGGGTGAGTAGAGTTTTGATTTTGGAAAGTTATAGATAGATTTGAACTACAATTTTGAAATTAATTATAAGAATCCTTCCCATGATAAAACGTTTTTGTTTTGAATTCTTTAAAAAACATGATAGATGGGACTTTAAAGATTGGACACTAGAGGGAACTAAAAGATTACAATTAAAAGGAAAGAATATTTCATTTACCAATACAAAATGAAGCAAAATATTTTAAGTCTGGATACACTTAAGGCTATTTTTGAACAAGTGGAGCAAAAAATTAATTTCAAAAGGGTCTTCCTCTATTTAAAAGATGTTATGGAAGAGGAAGAACTTTTATCTGACAAGACTGAGATTGATCTAAAAGTGAACTTAAAAAGATAAATTACAAGAATGATATGGAAAAAAGATGATACAATAGATCCAGCAGATGTCTTAATAATAAAAGGAAGATACAAATAACAAACCAAGAAAGTGACCTGGATAATCTTCCTACAAAGGAGCCTTATTAAAGCTTTAAAGAATATTGGATGAAGAGACAGAAAAATCAAAAGAAATAAAATTCTAGCACATTATTTGAAGGGATTAAAGATCAGGACTGTTAAAAGTAAAATGAAGGAATATAAAGTTGGTTTATCTGATCAAGGTTAAAATAGATACTGTTATCTCTGGTACTCTTAATAGATTTTTGCTGATGAGACTGAATTATGAGATTCTAAAAATTTGTTTATAGATAAGAGGTGAGACATGGAAAGGAGATCTTTTGTAATTTAAGAGAAGAGATTGTTTATACTTGTGACGAAGAGGTAAGTCCTTTATATATCTATTTTCCTTTTTCCTTACTATATTGTTTTTTCTTTTCTTTTTTTTCTGAACCTTCTATTTTTTTAGTTTATATTAGTTTTATTAATATTTAATAAAATTATTATAAAACTATAATAACTATAATAAAAACTATAAAAACATATTTTTTAAAAATACATTTTTCAGATATATTGAAATCTAATTCCGAGTCAATGGCCAGACTGATTTAACTGGAATCCTGATTGTACTAGGTATAGGCAAAAAGACCCGACGGTGCTTTCTGGTCTAGGTAAGAAGGGGTGGTAGAACCTAGTCAATTTGAAATAATCCCAGAAAGCTAAACAGCATTTGGATGGGAAACTACCAGAAACTTTCCAAGATTTTAGATTAGACTGGAAAATCAAAAAGGGGAAGACAAAAAAAAAAAAAAAGGTAATGGCAAATCACATCCATACTTTTGCCAAGCAAACATAAACCATCACTAGGAGTCCAAAGTTACTGTGGTGTAACAGCAAAAAACGAGCTGAATCACTCCAAAAGAAACCTCACTAAATTTTTCTACATTATAGAGTTGAAATCACCCTCAAGAAATTAGCAAATCATCTATGTAGGATTTAGAACAGAAATCACTGACAGATAGCATAACTTTTGTTTTAAAGAGCAGGGAAAGAAAAAGAAAAAAGTGAGCCATTGTGTACAATTCCAATATATTCTCCAGTGATGACAAGATCAAGGCTATATATACAGGAACACGAAACGTAACCCCAAATTTAGAACGCAATCCAATCTATATTGTGTTATATATTCATTCTTAAAGTAAGAACTTCTAGAAAATAAGGTATATTTTGCTAACCTCGCTGCTTTGATTCAGTTCAGGCCACGTCTGATTAAGTGATGGCATTGATGGTGATTTGCTTGGCGGTGCTTCTGCTGGGGAACTTGCAAAACCTACCTCAGCAGATTGATCTCCCACTTCTGAAACAGGAACCACTAAAAAAGCCAAACACAACATTGTAGTAATGTCTTTAAAACTGTGTGCTAATAGTTCATTTCACATTGCAATTTCATAATTAATGTATGAAAGCATGCCTATAACATCTGTTATTTATGAACATTTATCAACTTATTTCAGAGATACCCATTATGTAAAGAACTGCACTATATTTACTTTATTTAGCTCCATTATAAATATTCTAGAACGGGTTTCCAATGGAGAATTTGAGAAATCACAGCATTTGTGGGTAGTTCTGTCATTTGTACTGCTCTCTGCAGGCTTTCAACTTTACAGCAAACCAAAATATCACTGACCACATAGATTCTATTCTCATTAATGACTCTAATAAAATAGTACTTAAGTAGCCCATTATTTTATTTTGAACTATATTATATAGTCTGGGAAAAGAGGCAATAGAAACTAGTAGCAAGTATATTTGGGCTAGAAAGAATGTTTTGATTATTCTCTATATTGTATATATTTTAATTACTTTTACATTTTTTCTGCTAATTCCCCTCACTTGTTTTGATACATGTATTGGGTGGCCTTTGCCGCTGTTGCATATTTCTTAGCATGACCAATTTACCTGCCATAAAGTAGCAATTTTGTTTTGTCAGCTCTGTGCTTAAATTCTTGGGCAGGCTATTTTGTTTTTCAGCCTTACCAGTTTGCCTTCCTGTAAAAATTGTGCTTTATGATTGGCTACATCAAAATTGGAGATATGTCCACTAGCCTGAAAATGTTGGATACTCTGGTATAAGAGGGAAGTAACCAGAAATGCTATATTGCACGAGAAGAGTTCTTTCATGTTTTGGATTCAAACTATTTCATATAAGCAGAGCAGAAATTTCAGAACTCTAAGACAAAATAACCTAATACTTTCCTTTTTCAAAGGTTTTCCTTATAATTTAACTTTATACATTCTACATGTTAAGAACAAATAATATTTTATTTGAACAACAAAAAATTACCAGCTTTCTAGTTTCTTATATTTGATGGCCACCAAGCATGAGAACAATCATAGGATTGACTTTACTGGCCAGGGTCTAGAAAATTCTATGAGATTGCAAGAACTTCTGCAAAGATAGGGAAAGTGCAAAAGTTCTGTTTTATTAATAGTCTTTTATGGCAGGGCTTTTCAACCTTTTCACCCATTGTACCACTTTTAGGATATGGCAACATCCGAGTACCACCAGTCGCCTAGCAAAGTGTCAAAAACTTGATGACTCCCCCCCAAAAGGAAAAAAGTGATAAAGTACAGGTAGTCCTCAACTTACAACAGTTTGCTTAGTGACTCTTCGAAGTTACAACGGCACTGAAAAAAGTGCCTGCCAAGCCACAGCCGAGCAAGACACCTGCCTGCCCACCCGGCGGCGCTCTTTCTCCTGTCTGAGGTTTTCATTGTTGTGAGCATTTCTGTTGAGGATTGGCAGTGGGGATGGGGTGGGAGGATGTTTGGTTTTTATTCCCCTCGTCTGCTGGGTGGTTGCATCAGATTTTGGTCACTTCACATGACCCTGGGACACTGTGACCGTCATAAATATAAATCAGTTGCCAAGCATCTGAATGTAAATCACAAGACCCTGGAGATGCTGCAATATTCCAGCTGATTGGTGCTTCTTCTGGGCTCAGAAGCGCCAGGATCAGCGCCGAGCTCCAGCTGGAGCCTGGCGCTGATCCTGACGCTTCCGCTGAGCCCTGGCAGCCCTGCAGCTCCAGCCATCTCTCGCTCAGGCTTGTGCGGTGCTGCCACCGGTTCAGCTCATTCCCCTCCCCCACTACTTTTCTAGGACGGTCGCGTACCACCTGCCAGGTGCCAATGTACCACAGGTGGTACCCGTACCACTGGTTGAAAAGCCCTGTTTTATGGAAAGCTCTTCCAGAATTTCTTACTCCTTAAAGGATAATCCTTGACTACATATTATGTTAAACAGAAAAAAAGATTGCTTGATTAGCTTCTTCATGGCATTAGAGTGTAATCCTTAGGTGTGTTTATTCTAAAATATCACTAAAACAAATAGCTATTCCCTGGCTATAAAAAGAAGGTTGCTAGGTTGGGGTATCGTACACGTTGCTTTGTTAGTAATACAAACTATCCTCTTTTATTTCTATACTTTAAATTGTTTGATTAAATTGTAACATAGTATATACAGAACTGTTACAGGTGAAATATATTTTTCTGTCCAATAAGCAGATAAAATAAACTATTTTATTTTACCTACAGAAGGACAGAAGCTTCTGTCTCAAAAACAAAATCAGTTTTATACACACACAAGAGAATGAAATAAAACAATTGCAATGCACAAGCAGTACAGTTTGTGTTGCACATCCTTTAGCAATTAATTCAGAGAAAAAAAAAAAAAAAAGTACCTGCTGAGTCCTCCAAATCAATCAGCTTGGGCATTAAACTTTCAGGTAGCTTTTCCGGCAAGTCATAACCATTTTTCCTAGCAACCACTAGATGGAAAGCAGCACAGAACTCATCCAATGTTAATGCACCATCTTTATCAAAATCTGACAGCTCCCTGAAATGAAATTATTTAACTTTATTGTACTTTTTTTTGAAGAAAAACAACAACAACCCCTTTTCTGTATTTTCCAAAAGTCTTTCAAACTGAGAAAAAGTAATTTGAAGAAGTTCTAGCAAATATCAGATACTTTTACTCAGGGCTTTTTTTCTCATAGAACGCCCAGAACGGAGTTCCGGCACCTTTTTTGGGATGGAACCTTGTAGGGTAGGCAAGGCGGGTTGTATGATGTGTGTGAGTTCCGGCACCTTTTTTTTTTTTTTTTTTTAGAAAAAAAGCACTGCTTTTACTAGGTAAGCATTAGCCTTTCATAGTCTGGCATATTGCATTTAAAACACAGTCAACTGAATCCTAAGAATGCATGAACTCATGGAATGCTCCTACTGGATGAAGAGCAATAACCAATTAAAAAAAAAACTAATTTCCCCCATTTTTTTTTTAAAAAAAGAAAACCTTGAAAAATTCCTCCAAAGTGCTTACAGGTACTCTACACACAGAGGTGATGCAGGAGAATTATTAGAAAATGCAAACTGTCAAAAAGCATTTTCCATTCCTCTTTGCCAAAAGGAGTTTGTAATGTATCAGAATCCCATCTATTCACATAATATTAACTCAAAATATCAAAGTTGTGGCATTCAGTATTGTGGAAACCTTGAAGAGAACCCTAATTATCTGCTGTGGAAGAAAAGCTAATAACTATTTGACAGCAAAAGTTAAATCTGGACAACTATTTCTTAAAGAATGTGAAGGGAGCATCTTATCCAATGAAGCATTCAAAACACTTGCCTCTTTACACTTGCAGTGATAGATGGTATGGAAATTACATCAAACTGAGCTACTGTCTTTGTCTCTTAAGAGTCGTGATTAATTTGTTCTATTGATTGGATTGGAGCTAATAAATGTAATCCTTATGTAGTGATTGCCTTGTTTATTGTTTATTGACTGTTCAAAGTTTTGATAGTGATGAAAAAATAATTTTTCAGGACCAGTTATCGCATTTATGACCTTCACAGGTCTATGTTCGTTTTTCAAGCCATGCACACTTATACATAACCCGAACTAAACTGTTGTTTCTCTGTGTCACATTATATATGGATATATGCATAATTCTGTATTTATTTATTTATTTTTGTCATATTTCTGTAGTGTATATTGGAGGTGGTGACCCTTTGAGAGCTGTATGCAATGAAATTTCATTTTAATGTATGCCAACTAGTGTACATTCAAAGTGGTAATAAGGTTATTATTCTATTATTCTAAAGCAGGGATGTCAAACTCAATTTCATTGAGGGCCGCATCAGCATTGCGGTTGCCCTCGGGGGGCCGGGTGTGGCCAGGGCGGGTGTGGCCTACTGGGTGGGCGTGGACAGAATGGGTGTGGCCTATTGGGTGGGCATGGCCAACTCTACATCGTTCGCGTCAAGGAGGCCTGTGGGGGCCTGGGCAGGAGTGGGACAGATCTGAGGGTCTCTGGCAGAGGGGGTGGGACCGGGGCAAGTGCCAAGGCATGGTCCACTGGAGGAGCTTCACTGCCTGCTGAAACCCCTCCGTCGGAGCCCATCAAGCTGGATATGTGAAGTAGGCGAGGGCCATTTGCTGGCCACTTCCAGGTGATGGTGCATTTCTTCATTCTTCACAAAGGGTGACACCTCCCCAGCATGCACCCAGGGGGCGGGGCCGACACGGCAGGGGCCGGTTCCTTGCTGTTTCCAGACAGCCTTGTGGAGCTAAGACTGAATGTGTTTTCAGCATAGATGGCCACCACAAAATTGTACATTGGCTCCTGGCCGGCCTGGGCCAGGGCCAAGGCAGTGGGGGAAGTTCCCTCACTGTTTCCAGGATGGCTTCGCGGGCCACATGAAACCACTTCACAGGCTGCATCCGGCCCCCGGGCCTTATGTTTGACATGTCTGTTCTAAAGCAAAGGAAAGCTGAAGTAAGATCATAAGGTCAGTTGCAGTTTCACTTAGCAATCGCTTCATTTAACAATCAAATAGCCAATCCCAATTGTGGTCACTAAATAGGACTACCTGTAATTTGGATACAAGTATAAAATCTTATGTTTGTTTCCTTGGTAATTACAACAAAACTTAACATGAGATCATGTCAGATGGAAACTTACTCCTTGATTTTAATGGAAATGTGATTAAGCTTCTAAATTACACTTATTTTTAAGATAAAAGGTTTCAGTATAAATGGTAGTGTTAGTTGCTAGGCATTTCAGTTTTATTATCCAATAACTTGGGCTCTTAGAAAGATGAGTTTAAGTAATTATATTTTAACTTACCAGATGTGTGAAAGTTCAAGAATAGGAAGCTTTGATTTTGTAAAAAATTCTTTAGCTGCAGAACCTAAAAATATTAAAATTTATTTATTTATTTGTAAAATATATTGGCAGCCCATCTTACCCAGGGTAATAATGTTTGACTTTCAAACTAGAATTATAACCTCAATTGTAAATTTAGTATAAACTTTATCTATGACACAAAAGCTAGTGAGGTTTTAAAGATACACTAGGCTGGGGGCTGGGATCATAATGAGTTCAAAAACGCTAATGTAGCAAATCATTAGAAAACATTAAGCTAAGAAATTCACAAAAGCACTTACACAATATTTAATAGGCTGTCTTATGAATAAAGAATCCTCTCTATTAACAGAAGGACCTCTGATCTAGCAGAAATTAATACCAAAAGCTGCATGGAAATTTTTTGGACTTCTTTCCTTACAATCTCATTCCCTGGCTCAGTTTTCTTAAAGGTGCAGGAGAAAAGAAAGAACTGCTTTAATAAAAATTTTAATTACTACACGCCAGGAATCTCTTTACTGAAAATTGAACTATGTATGTTTTGTAAAATCGGTCTAATATTAGATAATTATACAATTATTCATTGTATCATATGTGCTTAAAAAGCTTACCTGGAATATATCCATTCAGATCAGGCTGAATAGTTTTAAACTGATTTACATAATATTGCCTTTGTTCATCTGTTATTTTCCAAGGATCGTCATAGCTACTTGACTGCCTACGAATTTCATTTGTTGTTGTAGCTGATGCTACAGTTCGTACTGTAGTCTGGTCCTGCAATAAAATATTTCTCTTCAGCATTTTCTGCTTTATTGACAATCAACAATTTTCTGTACTTATTTGCCTTGAAAAAGGAAACAATAGTTATTTATGAAAGTAGACTTCTGACTGGTGCTACCTGAGTAGAGCCATACTTCCCCCCCCCCAAATTATGACTGTGAGCTCAGCCATCTACTCTTTAGATCCATGCCCCTTCTGGCTAACTAAAACTGCCAGGGAGGCATCTTGTGGGAGAGCCCTTGTGGCAATGAATTATTCCTTGAGTAAGGTGATATGACCCCTGCCTAAGAAGCTACTACTAGATCACATCATACTGGACAACATTTGTCCAATATCTAATCTCCCCTTTTTTCCCAATCAGTATTCAGGCCTGGGTAGGGGATGGAAATGGCATTGGTGATGCTTTTGGATGATCTCTGGCGGGAGCAGGATGGAAATCCTTGGTCTGCTTTACCTCATAGCAACATAATCTCTTTGTGGAGAGGCTCTGGGTATTCTCTGAAGTTGATTCCAGTAGGTGGTGATCGGATAGAAGAGATCAGCCCCTACCCTGATACTCTCCCTTCTTCTATTCAACATCTACATGAAGTCACTGGGTGACATCATCTGTTGCCATGGAGCGTGGTATCTTCAGAATGCTGAGGATACCCAGTTATACCAATGGAGTCAATGTCTTATTCTGGTGCCTGGAGGCTATGGAAGCCTGAACAACAAACTTCAATGGAATCCTGCTAGGACTGAGTGAGTCTGGGTTTTGGGGCCCTCTGGCTCAAGCACTATGCCAGCTTTGGTACTTGGATTGCAGTGCCCCAAGCAGACTTAGCGCTCAGCTTGCAGTTCCTTCTAGATTAGTGACTCCTGCTCAAAGAGCAGGTGGCAATCATAACTAGGAGGGCTTTTGCACAGCTTTATGTTTGGTGCCCATATTTGGACCAGGAAACTATGCTCACAGTCACTGATGCCCTGGCCACCTCTCAAATGGACTACTGTAATGCATTTTACATATGGTTGCCCTTGAAGTGTATCTGGAAGCTCGGGCTGGTGCAATATGCAAAGGCATGGATAATGTGTGACCAGAACAGTACACATTACACTTCTGTTCTGTAGGTTGCACTGATTGCCAGTTTACTTCTGGAACCAATTTAAGGTGCAGGTTTTGACCTTTAAAGCCCTTTATGGCATGGGGCTGGGTATGAGGGACCACCTTCACCCAATTATGTCTCTCCATTGCATCAGGAAATATGCTGCAGGTCCCATCTAGAGTTTCGTCTGGTAAGAGATAGGCTTTATCTGCCATGGCACCCACCCTCTAGAACATCATCCCCAATGAGGTGAGATTGGTCCTATCCTTGACATCCTTCCCTAAGTCTCTTAAAGCATGGCTGGCTGGGTCAGCAGGCCTGGAGATCTCAAGGAAACGGTGAAATGCTGCATTGTTTTTAACATCAATTATCTCCATTATTTTATTATTTATATTGGTGTTTTTTAACTGTAGTTTTAATATTTGGATGTTATGATTGTTTTTACTGTAAGCCACCTAGAGTTCCTCTACTCTGAGATGGGCAGATATTTTTGACAGATAAATAAATAATTTGAAATGACAACAGCCATATAAGCAACATAATGTTATGGAAAGTGTGCACAGAAGAGTTTTAAAAATCAAAACACAAAGAAAAGCTGAAAGCTGGTTTTACAAATGAGTTTTAAAATTAAGATTCCTTGACCAAGAATCTTCAGTGCTACATGTTCAATGCCAGATTACATTCTGAGAAAGGAAGAATGAATTAGAGCTTAATCTTAAAAGACATGTGAAGACACAGCGCAAATCTTTAGCAGCAATATGAAAATGACTGACATTATTTGGAATGAAGCAAATAAAATAATACTAATAAAATGTCACACCTGGACAGAAGCAGGATGCATGGTTAAAATAGTACTGGTTGGTGTATTATCTGCAAAACTGACCCAGTTTTCTTGATGCGGTGGGGGTGAATGGCCAGACCACACTGGTTCGCCAGCATTACAGGAACCTAAAAATCAGAATGCATGTCAGTTTCAAAATCAGTATAACAATCTATTCAAGAAATGTCTGTGTTGAAATACTTTAAGAAGTTAGCTGAAACAGTGGTTTGGTCAGGGGCTTAGAAAAATTTAATGCAGGATCCTAATAATATAGGTTCAAATGAGATTTGAGCTCAACCACATACTCATATTAAGTGTAGTCTTGATTTCCTATTTCACATACTGATTTCAAAATAATTCACTCAGTAACTTGCTAATTGTGTTAACCATTATTACTACAAAGATTGCTTAGCAAGGCTTGGTTTCCTAATCTGTCTGGCAGACATGTTACAATTTGCAGTTTTCTAGCCAAACAAATTTGAATGTAAAAATTGGGCATCCCAAAACTGAATGTGTAACAAGAGGAGTGAATGAACTTAAGACTTAGTCCTAATAAACAAAACTTTAATAAAACAACAATATACTATTATAGATACTTTCTGTAATAAATATAAACCATGGTTGATTCTTTCACTTTTAACTAGATAACACACACACACACATAAACTTCAGAGTAAGTGAAAGTTTAGCCTTTGCTAACCTAGCAAGGCATTAATAGTAATGTTATTTACAGTTAAACAGATGTTGATATGGAAATTTGACACAAGCAATGTCTAGACTAAGATCTTGCTAAAATATTATTCTTATAGTCTGCTCAACTATTTGTTTAAAAATACAATATATATATTGGTAGAGAAAAGATGTGGATCCTCTTTAAAATACTTTTTCAAGTACAGTCCTTGACATACCCTAATGAAAGATTAAGTCTGGCTTCCCTTCATTGTAACTAACGTTCTCTTTAGTTAAAAATTAAAAGTGCCCTGGCAGTCAGATTTATTCAACTGTTTTAATAGATACATGAATGAGCAAAGGGAAAAACCAATGTACTGTATTCCTAGTAAAAGCCTGTAGTACTGCTTTATAATCCCTTTATAATCATTCTTGTCCCTCCAATCTTCCTACAATACTCTTCTTACTATTGTGGTGGCCGATTTAAAATGGATCAAGTACTGTTCAAAGGCCAAGACATCATAGCACTAGAAAAACAGTATAACCAGAAGTGTTACTTATAATAGTTAGTTATTACTATAACCAGAAGTGCTACACCATTTTTTTTCTGTTTCCTCTCTCATCCCTTCTCTACTCCACAGACATGAGAGAGACACAGATCTCACACACTTAGTGTGTGATGACTGATTGATTAAAGCCACACCTCTGGAATTACAGGAGGAGCATGGATGACTAATCCTGGCATATTCTCTGGGGTCAATAATAGTTCATGGCATGCATACAGATAATCCCAAGAGCAGCTGTCTTCTCCACCCCCACTCCTACCCAGAATCCAGTATGGTTTCCAAACAGCGAAGACTATGCAGGGCCAAATAAAACAAGGGACTGGCACATGATAAAGTGGGATGACTGGTTATTGTCATTTATGAATTTTTCAGCAAAAGGTTTAGCTTCCCTCAGTACACAAATAGCCAAGAAGAATACAGTATTTGTGCGATATTGAACTATTCAAGTGCAAAAAAAAGTTGAAGTACTGAAGAGTCAAGCATCATGTGGACACACACTGTAGAGATCCTTTGAAAATAAAGAGCCACCGGACAATGAAGAGGATTGTCTGATTTCTCAGAAGGAGAAATGATGGGAGTTTGCATTGGTGCAGAGCAGAAGGTAAGGATTATTTATCACTAGGGTCGGTGCTGCCTGAAGTGTACGTATTCAAGACATGAAGTATGGTGAAAGTAATTTCTGTGCATATCACCTGTCCACCCCAATCTAGAAACAGGCTACCTCAAATGCCTGGAATCCCTAATTAGTTATTAAATTGCTGGACAGGAATTTCATAAGCCCAGACAACACTAGAAGACATTTCTTAATACCTGACTGTGCTTCATTAAACGGAGCCCAGAAAGGTCCCTGTCCAGCAACACATCGCTCGTTATTTCCTCCACTAGGATGGCGGCTGTGTTTCCTCCACGAATGGGGAGAAGTTGGTGGAGACTGTTCCGGTGAAACGACTGGAGATGTAGACTCCTGAAAATAAAAAAAAACCCATTAAGTACTGAAACATATTTCTAAAACAAATCACTGTTCTTGGGTGAAAACTAGCGGAACAGAGAATGGATTTCTGTTTATACAATCTCTTCCCTTCCTTCCATCCTAGCTGAACCAGGTTACAGGTAGCCCAAGTGACTTACAAGCGGTGCTTGTACTTACAACGATTTCAGTGTCCTGCAGACACGTCGTTGCCATTTGTAATCTTCCCAGCTGACTTCCAACAAGCAATCAATGGCGCTGCCAGCAGGAGGTTGATAGTTGTAGTCTCGCTTAACAACCACGGATGATTCACTTAACCATGAATGATTCACTCCACTTAGCGACTACTATCACTAACTGGAGTGGTCACGTGTAGTTTTCCTTAACAAGTACTTTACTGGGTGACAGATTTGTCAATCCCAATTACAGTCATTAAGTGAGGACTACCTGTATGGGGGTACATGGGGAGCTTCAGGGAATGAATTCTTTTACTCCTCTCACTTTATCTGCAGAAACTGTTTCTGCTACTGAATATATGAAGCTGGATTTCACCCAAGATATAATTTTATTAGAATAGGTTAACACATTTTGAAAGGGACAGGTCCTATCTTTTTTATTGCAGTACAGCATTACATGAATAAATTAATATCTCCTCATCATTGAATAATTGAAATACTCCTCCACACAATGACAGACGCAACTTATTAAGACAATAGCAGTTGTCAAAGATTTTTGTGGAATCAGATTTAGTTCTCTTTATTGAGAAACAAACGAATGAAACAAACAAATAAAAAACTACAGGGAATTACATGCTGGGTGAAAAGTCACGCTGCATGAACCAATTACCACTTGAGGCTTTTCTCTGCCCCTTTTCAAGCAAAATCTGCTCAAAAGATTGGACAGTCCTTTGAAGCAAATGTTAAAGGTATGACAAGGAAGGGAGAACTGCTCTATTCTCGCTTTGTTGATGAAAACCGTTCTGACAATGGATTTTACTCTGTGTACAGGAAACATTCACCAAGGATAGTAGTTTGTAATTAAAAGTCCTGCAGACATAAAATCTTCAGAAAAGTTTCTCATGCTCATTTACTGCCGTTCAAAGCTGTCTGGTACTCAATAGACAGGGTTATCACTACATTTTTTCAGCATTTATTCTCTTATTCCAACTGTTCTCCCCCACAAATGTGGGGGAGAGGTGACAGGAAATACTCTTTTAAGAATACCTTTCGGTTAACACAATCTCTGGATCAAGCCCAGCTTGTTCAGACATGTCTGATTCCAAAGCATTCAGTAACAATATATTATATATGGTACTTTTAATGGAATTATATTACATGTTGTGCTGCCAGCACCATATCCAGAAAACAGTTGTTGTTGTTGTTGTTGTTGTTGTTGTTGTTATTATTATTATTATTATTATTATTATTATTATTATTATTATTATTATTATTATTATTATTATTATTATTATTATTATTATTTATTAAATTTATATACTGCCCTATCTCCCTTACGGGACTCAGGGCGGTGAACAGGCGATACTAAAAACCACGATAAATATACACAAGTTTCTGTTCTAAAATCAAATTAAATAACAGGCCTGTTCTAAAAACACCCGTTCTAAAAACAGTTGAATGCATAATTTTAATACAAGTTATAGTCTGTCAACTCTATGATAAAGGTTTTCAGTTGAAGGCAGTCAGATGAAAAGTAATCAATAAAGCCTGCCTATATTTAGCAATCTGTCCTAAGCAAGGTAAACAACTTGGTCAAAACAGTATTACTATGGATACATGAATTAAGGCTGTGCAAAGCCTTCCAAAGAGGTATTTCTCTGTGTGGGAACATATAGGAAGCATCTTTCCTGAAATAATTAAAACAATTGTTTACAAGAATTGCATGGAAGGTAATCCCACATCTTTGCACATGCATACATGGACGTCCATTTTGCTTCACTTCAGCCGCTGGAACTTATTGACCCTATATGCTTACTGCCAATTATTTTCACTTTTTTCCTTGATTTTTAACTTGCTTTTTCTCCCTGATGTTGCATCAAGATTAACTTTCTTTAAATTAAGTCAAGTAAATCACAGATGGCAAATCTTCACATCCAAACTGTTCCTGAGATCAGAGATCTGGACCGACCTAATTCTATGCAGATGATTGCAGGTTTCTAATAATTCCTCCTTACAAAATATGTCTCAAACCAGGTGTGTCTAATTTGCGGCCCAAGGGCTGCATGCAGTCCTTCCTGGACAGCTAATAATGTGGCACCTCAAGATCATAAAAATATATAAAAAAATAAAGGATGTTTGATTTGTATACACATTAACTATATTATATATTTTATATGCGGCCCAAGTCAATTTCTCTTCGCTCACTGTGGTCCAGGCAAGGCAAGAGATTCGACAACCATGTCTTAGACCTTGACACATTTAATGCCAACTAAAATGGCACTCCAGATCAAGAGAGGACAGACTGCAACCTCTCAATACAAAGGAGATAGCAAAAGGTTATTATTACTCAAATATATGGATAGCTGTAAAATGGCATTTAAAATAGCAGTTAAATGTATTGCTTAAACAACAGAAAGATTAGTGCTTGAAATCCCCGGATGGCCTTCCATATCTAAGGTATGGTCTGATACTGAATAAACCTTAAACCTGACTAGTTGCCAGAAGTAAACGCTGAAGCCGTATGTGAAGGAAGTACATATCTGAATAGTTGAAAACCAACCCATCTGAGATTTTGGAACTGTAAGTCCTGCTACTCTAAACTATCCAGAAGCAAATAAATATTAATTTAAGGCCTTCAGAATTAAGCAATGAGATTCTCGCAACTGGTACAATTGTTACCATATCAACTTGCGCTTCTGGACAATTTTCATAGTTAGCCGCACAAAAAATATTTTGCAGTAATCAAGACATTAGCTACAATGAGACATTTTATACACCCAAAGTTCTGATCAGCAACACAACTGAAGCTACTGAAAAACACTCCTTGATACAGGAGTTCCCTCTGCATCTACACAATCACCCTGTTCACATACTACTTTGGTTCAACAATACGGGAAAATGCAAGTGTTTTCAATACTGCACTATGTATAAAAAGGAAAAACCAGAAAAGCTGAAGACCAATCTACAAATTAGCAATCGAAATATTAATCCTTGCTAAATCCAGTATTTAATTTTTTAAAAAAAAAATTGCACAAATGTTCAGCAGAAATTGTTTAGAAAAATAATTGTAGAATTCCTGAACTTCTCATCTCTTTCAAATTAAAATCGAATCTAGAAATAAATCCACAGCTCTGTTCCCATTTTAAACTGTCTACTTATCTCCAGATTATCTTCTATATACCATTGTATTTTCAAATAAATTGGAAGAGACGAAGTCCAAACCTTCCATATTTAAAGTCTCCTGCCTTGAGCAGGGGGTTGGATTAGAAGACCTCCGAGGTCCATCCCAGCCCTATGATTCTATGTTCATATTTAAGAGCATATCATTTCCTAGAGTAGCTGGAAAGGGCACACATGCAAGGAAGGGGAAAGGAATCTGTTCAGTTAGCACTATCTGTTCTATTGGAAGGAATATGCTAAGTTTGGTCGTACAAATATTAAAGTATTTTATTTTATATATATAAAAAAATAAAAATTAAGCTATGTGATTGTGTGAAATAGAGTAAAAAAGAAAGACTAGTTTGAGAAGGAATCTACTGAAAACCTTATTAAATTTGAGATTCTAGGATAAAAATCATGGAATCTATTTTTCCTGATACACAATTTCTTAGACAAATTAAAGTAAATCAAAAGTAGCCAAACCTGCGACTATTGTTTTTTTTTTTTTTTTAACTTATCACAGAACTAGACATGAAAGACTCACGTACCCCTAAATCAGCCTCTAGATTTCATTACCTGTTGATCTGTAGATGGACGTTGCTGAACTATATCATGGCTCACAGAGCCCTTTTTAGCTTGTATTCTGCCTGGTGGAGGAGGAATTGCACCTGAATAGGAAGATGAGTTATCAGCATCTGAAGAATACAAGGATGAATGCCTTAACTCTTGCTCATTCTTTGACATCACAAATCGGGGCAGGGGGAGGTCTTTGACTGTCAAAATAAGATGGCATGGGTTAAGAAACTTATATTACAAAATTCCGTTGAGTAGTGAATTAAAATATAATTTTAATTTTGAGTTGTTGCTAAAATATTTTGTTAAATCGTATTGTATTACTATGAAAATAAGTAAGATTGTGGCAGTTCAGTTAAAATCCAAAGAACAATTATCTTTAGTATCGTATTTTCAAACATAAAAACATCAATACAGGTAGTCCTCGACTTAGAACAGTTCATTTAGTGACCAGTCAAAGTTACAATGGCACTGAAAAAAGTGGCTTAGGGCCGTTTTTCAGTTATGATCTTTCCAGTATCGCCATGCTCACGTGATCAAAATTCAGACCCTTGGCAACTGGTTCATATTTATGACTGTTGCTGTGTCCCAAGATCATGTGATCCCCTTCTGTGACCTTCTGACAAGCAAAGTCAATGCAGAAGCCAGATTCACTTAAGAACCGGTTTCCTAACTTATTTACTTAACAACTGAGGCAAGAAAGGTCATAAAATGGGCAAAATTCACTTAACAAATGTCTCACTTAACAACAGAATTTTTGGGTTCAATTGTGGTCGTAAGTTGAGGACTACCTAGAAAATTTAAATATTTTAATAGGAATAATTTATTTTCAAAATGTCTTGAAACTTTAAACACATCTCTTTAACATACACATTTAATATTTTGTATTTCTTTTTATCTAGAAACAAACAGAAGGCATTTAATTCATAAATATATATATACAGGAGTGCTGTAACAGCAAGAAGCTTCCATACAGAAAGAAAATGTAATTCTCCATACAATGTACATACATATGTAGTTTATGATCATTTTTGTCAATAAATAAATGAACAAGTCTAATGTTTTTGAATCATTTTTGTAATTGGGTTCTCTTGACCTAGTTTTAGGACTTGTGGGAAGAAGGGATGATGTTTTAAGTCACATTTATGCAAAAATATCAAAAATTCAAAAGGATCCACAAACCTTTAAGAACCACTGTACTGTATGTGTTTGCATCTAAACAATAAGACATGGTATCTTAAGTATCATAGTAACTTAGCACTGAGCTTACTGTATTAGTATTACAACTTCCCAAATCCAAATTTAAAGCATTTTAAAGCAATCTTGACCAATCAAGCTGGTGAACCTCAGGAAGAGAATCAAAATAGTTTCAACTCAGATTCATGGAAAAGCTTGCATCTATCAACTGATGTTTATTTTAAAAGCAAGCTCCCAAGTTTGAAACGTGTAGTGTTGCAGCTATCCCCCTACACCCAATAACAACTTTTTAAATATCGGTATTTAATCCATTGCAAAGTTTTTGATATATAATGAACTATCACAATATGGGCTTTCCGCCGGATAATTCCAAAAGCACCTCAAGCCCATTACAGCATAATACCTGAGCAGCCACGTGTTAGAATGCACACAAGTTTTTTCTGCTTGTGCTTCCCCCCCCTCCCCGCTTCTATACTTACTGACAGTGAATTGAGAAATCTTACCAGGCATTACTATTTCATTCTTTTGTAGGTTCACTTATTTATTCCTATTTCCCTCTACGGGAAAGGGGTGTTGTCTTACCTGAACGCCTTTTCCCAGTACGGAGATGGAGAATCCACCAATGGGTTTTCTTTGTCTGCCTGCTCTTGAGACCAAGTAGCCAAACTTGATACGCCCCCTCTTGCCAGGAGATCCAGTCTTAACTTGGTCTCAGCTCTTGAAAGACGTTTCAGGTTTGGCTCTCAAGATAGCAGGTTAGAAAACTCCATTGGTGATTCTCCTTTATCCTCAAAATTTCAAACCTGAAACGTCTTTCAAGAGCTGAGACCAAGTTAAGACTGGATCTCCTGGCAAGAGGGGGCGTGTCAAGTTTGGCTACTTGGTCTCAAGAGCAGGCAGACAAAGAAAACCTATTGGTGGATTCTCCATCTCCGTACTGGAGAAAATAAATAAGCACCGACTTTGAGAATAAATTAAAATAAGTTAAAATGAAAATCAGGCCAGGCTGTTTGACATTCCTTTTCACATTAAAAACAAAATTCTGCATTTTCCCTTACACTTAAAAATGCATGACAATCTTAAGACTGAAAGGTTTACACATATAAGTTATATGTTTTACATACATGTAAGAAGTCTAAAATTCAGCTTTCTTTTGTAGCTCAAGAGCTGGAATTCTGTGATTGTTCCACTTTCTTGTGATAGTAAGAACACTAACACAAGTCATGTGTGAGACACTGTTTTATGAGTTCCTTATTTCATTTTTGAGGAACTAGGCCAGTAATATATCATAGTCAGACAACAGGCATATTTTAAATTTGATTTTCATATTATTTCAAGGCTTACCAGAATTTAAACTTTCCATTCGTAGTGGAAACCCAGACTGAGCCACTGCAACAAGTTTCAAAGCAATGTAGAATTGGCTTCTTCCAAAGTATCCAAGTCTAGTTGCACCACAAAGTTCCATGATCTACAGACAGATCAATATACATATCGTGAGATTGTATCTGTCTATAAAGCTTAGTATGAATATATGCATTCTGTCAAAGGAATAAATAATTCCAAAATTCAAAGTTAATGACACTGAGCCATTTTTCAATAACTATATATTATAATAAGACAGTTTTGCAATGCATGGGTGCATATTACTTATTGTTAATTTCTTCATAGATAATATGCATGCAGCACTGCAGAATGTAGTCATGCATTTGTAACTGTAATGAAAAATTTGGCAATTTTAAATGCACATTTTAATAGCCATTGATTCAAAGAAAATAAAATCCACAAGGAGGGATGAATGAATATCTATAAGAGACTGCCATCATATGAATGTTCACTTCAAATTGCAGCCCTGTGTTTAGCAACAATTCTGTTCACCAATAATGCAAAAGTATTATAAAGTATTAATTTCCTAGTTTCTGTTCAATATTTAACATAAATATGCTTTATGGTACTTAATAGTTCATATTCCTGTTCAGTGAAATATCCTAATTTCCCCAGTTTGAATATTTGTTACGGCAATACATTTTGCTGTTTCCACCAGAAAAAGAACTTCATTTTTATTAATTTCTGTAAGAATCTCAACTTCAGTTTTTAATCATACATTTTTCTGACTGCAGCATGCTGTACAAGCAAATCTATCAGAAACAATCTGTAATGATCTGACTGACAGTATCAACATCAAGTCAATTAGCTATGGGAACCATTACTCCTCAGCCAATTTCATTGAAAATTTGGGATGAAGCATTCTGGAACCTGTTATATCAGATAAAAAAACTGGGTACTCAAAACCTGAATTATAACATTAGTAATAAAACTGATGCAGTTTGATTTAATTTAATTTTAAAAGGTTCCAGTACACACAGGAAGGTTTACCTAGATAAATATACATACAAACTATATAATAAATTGAATATAAAACAAAATGGTCTTCCAATGCAACATAAAAAAGATGGAATACAAATAAAAATATCTCTTGCTGTGGCAAAATATATTGCACAGGCTTGTCCATTCAGTCATCAGGCATCAAGTTCAATCTGGATGAGTTTTTATTTTAGTTAAGAAATACCACTGAATTCCTAGAGACAGCAGAGAAAGGACTATCTGTGAGAGGTGTTTATTTTAACGTAATATCATGACTACTAGACTACAAGCAATCCCTCTTCTTGTGTAAGTTTAGTCTCTGCAACAATTTGTACAAAAGCTGCAAATGAATGTATAATAACATTGCAGGATTAGGCACATTAAGCAAGATTAATTCAATCCCATAAATTCCCACAATATTTTGGGTTGAAAATTGAGATAGCTATGTTTTTTCCGACTCTAAACATAGCATTGATTCAAAGTTTCTTCATTAGTTAGTTGATAAATGCTTTAAAGACAAAAAGTCCCTGAGTAGGTAAGTTCTTCATATTCGTGAACTCCTTTTGTAATATGTAAAACATACATATTAATTGTATCTCAATTTAGGGTAACTATATTTATATTCTAGATTTTTTTAAAAAAAATTGTTAGGAGAAACTTAAGACAGTAGTAACTGAAATATTATCCCAATAATTGCAAGAAAATCTATGCTATTTAAGTATAACTCATAAAGTTCAAGTTCAATTAATAGCAGCTAAACATGATACAGCATTTTAAGTGACTACTTATTGCATCAGATGTACACATAGCTGAACAATTTTCTAAAAATACCATTAAAAGAAATTCTTCACATTTGAACCTTAAGGTAAAAATTTGCTTTTACATACATTAAACAAATGTGCTTTTACATACATTAAACAAGTTAGGGAATAGGCATACCAACCATGGATTCTGGAATTTTTTCCAATCCCCTAACAATAGCTCTGTCGTAATACATCCTAAGTAGGGGGCTTAGGATGGAAAAGCTGGAAACATTGTGAGACATTTCTCACTATCTTTCTTATATAAATAAATTGGGCAATTTTTGTCCCTGGATATTTTTCTATAAAGTTCTTAGACCTTTTTTGGGACCTTTTTTTTTTTTAAGACCAGAGCTTTCTTTTATCAGCTTCTCCATCCCTACCAGATGTGGTTCAATTTTCAGAAAGACAGTCTGCTAATGAACAAACAAATGGCATGAAGGTCCAGTTGCCTTTACATAAAAATGGAATGTACACATTGTAATATACTCCAGAGAAATTTAAATACAATTTTATACACTTCTGTCCAGCAATCACTCCATAAAGTTAATCAAACGTTTAAGCTATCAAGTTCTAATAGAATACATTGAACTTCCTGCTCACATGAAACTGCCTAAGCTTTCACTACATTTCCTTCATTGAATAGAAAGGATGGACACTTAACTTGACCCAATTTTTGTTTTCCATAATTCCTGTTTTGTATTACTGATAGGCTAAAAAGAGATATACCCTTATTTATTCCACTGGGATTCTCTGTTAATAATTTTTCTATTGCATGCTTTCTTTTCAACTAGATTCCAAAAATGGAAGTTAGTTTACATATTGATAGTTCACCTTATTTAGAACTGGATCTTAGGCGATAACTGGCCATGTATCAACAGTAAAACAGTATTTATTTAGTGTTTCTCTCCATTTTGAGTACAAGCAGAAACCATATAAAATACTACAGCAATCAGCAAAACAATCACTACTTGAAGAATTATTCAGCTAAAAATTAACTGTATTATTATGTAGGCTGCTGGACATTTATGCAATATGCATTACAATAGGAGAGTTAAAGTTAAATGCAACATTCTGAATCAATACAGGAGAAATTCTAATTTTCGGGGGGGGGGGTGTCAAATTGTGTCAAGCGTTTGTCCTATGCCACTTCTGAATTTGTTTTACAAAGTACACAATTTCCCATTTCAAACTTTTAAGAACTTCATTGTAAACAATTAAAACGCAGCAGAAATGTATATGGGGACACAATGCTACCTTGGATAGTGATAGGCAGCCTACTTCCCAATTAGATGATATTCTTTTTACAGTATGACCAAAAGCAAAAGATTGTGGAAGATACAGTCCAAAATACTTAGAGGGCATCTGGCTATATATGTGGACTTAAAAGGTCTAAGTGAAAAACTGCTTAAAATGTTCTTAAAAACAAAATCAGGTGTCCCCCTCAAAAGAGAGGAACTATATTTACAATGAATAAATACAAAGCAATAAACATAAGTTACAAATCTTCGTAATATAAATGCTTTAATTCTGATAAAAGTGATAAGCTAGAAAGTAAAAGCAAACAGAAGAACATATACAATGTGCTTGAATACTGACAGAATTGAGTCTATTTTGACAGTTACAGAAGATGTAGATCTCATTCAAGTGTAACTAAAACTCAAACCCCTTTTAACACAACAATTGTATTCATGAGCAAATATAGCAAGTTTTGTCAAAAACTTATCTTTTAGACATGTTCCAGTTAGTCAAGATTCAAGGCCATGTCTATTTCATACAAGGGGCAAAGCAGTCTTAATACAGTCTTCTCTACTTGTTTGTTGGCAACAGTTGTGTAATACACAGTTCAGGCTTTCAATAGATTAAAACAATGTAACACAACATCTACTTACTAACCATATCATTAATAGATAAATTTGTTTTGCCTCATGAGAGTCCTGCCACACATGCTGAAATACAGTACACTGCCTGCTTTTTATTTGTTCAAGTGAAGGAAATAATCAGTGACTGTCCAAAAGAGTTGGAAGCACTAATTGTCACTAACCTATTTCAGTGCCTTAAATTTTCAATAACTTCAAAAAGAAGTTGGGCTGCATTCTACACTTAATAAAAAATAAGGCGGCGATACAGGTTAATGACAACTACTGCTTCTTACACTTTTGGATAGTAATCAAATGATGATGATCAAGTCACACCTATGACTACACACTTACAAAACCCAAATGTTTTTGTGCAAACTAATAAAATGAACTAGTGGAATAAATAAAAGATCATATCAGATTGTTAAAATAGTATTATGCCACTTTCTATGAAATATTTAGTATGGTTCAACACTCCCAGAAAGAATCCAAGAAAAAAAAATGAAAGCAGCTGCACTAAAATTAATTTCAAAACATACATTCCTAACTATAAGGTACACTTTGCAAGTATACCGAGCTAAGAAAGCTCTAGTCTAAAAAAGCATCCACTCCATACCATGAAACTGTGTCCAGTAATTCAGAGTACCAGCACAACAAAATTAAAAGGATTACCACATAGTTAGACTGAATACTAGTGAAGCAGAAAAAGGCAAAGGTTGTTTCTGTGTTGCCTTTAAGTACTACTTCCACTCAAAAGTTATAGGAAAAAGCCTTGCAGTTCTAAATTCCTTGGAAACGCCTATCTTCATATCCAGTTTCCAATTAAATTGTCTCCTTATTTTACTTTTGCAGAAGACTTCGGGATTTAAATTAAAAAAAAAAAAAACCCAACCAAGCGATTAACGTCATACCTTGCGTTTTGTCGTAAATGCTGATCTTGCACTGGGAAACAAGAAGTGCAAAAGTGCCCGAGCCTTGTGCTGCAACCCAAGAGACACCACCAGCTTGTACCGCCTCCCTCGCTGGTGCATTTTCAGAAATGGACCCGCTTTTCCTTAAAACATTCCCTCCCCAAGCGACCCTCCCGCTGCAGCTGCTGGGGCTCAAAAGCCTCGAGGGGAAGCAGGAACTCCCCGCTGACGCTTCCCTAGCCGAGGCCCCCCGGAGGTCAAGAGCAGCAGTCTGGGTCGCCTTCGGGGAGAAGGGAAGGGGGCCAGGTGGAAGGGAGACACGGAGGCGGAGGCGGCTTACCTGCATGACTATCTCGTTGGGTAACTGCGCGGCGCGGAAAAGCTCCAGGACCCGCCCGTTGGACGCGACTTTCTTGGTGCTCTCCGTGTCGCAGTAGGAGAAGAGGTCGCAGTAATAGCGCTGCTCCGTTTCACTCAACGTTAAACCCTCCATCTTACACCGGCCCTGCCCTGCCCCGGGGATCGATCCTACAACTGGGTGGAGTGAAGGAGGGAGCGGGGCCGCGCTCACACGCGCGAAGCCGCCGCCGCCGCCGCCTCGCCTCCTCCTCCTCGCGCCAGCAGCGGCCGGGGAGGAGGGGGGGAAGGCCTTCCGCAAAAAGGGAACGAGAGCGCGCGCGTGCGTGTGTGCGTGTGTGTGTGTGTGCCTCTCGCCGCCTCGGCTGTCGCTTGTTGATCTCGCGCCGCGAACCTGTCTTTGCCCACAAGAGTTGCGGAGGAAGGTTCCAATCCAGAGGACGCCCGACGACAGGGGGAGGGGGCGTGGCCGCGCGTGCAAAGTGGGAAGGGGAAGAAGAAAAAAAAAAAAAAAAAAAGCGCCCAGCGCTTGAGTCGGTCGAAGTCTCCTAATAAAGTTTCTGTACGTTTCTCTTCCGTGCCTTTGGCCACGCCCATTCCCCCCCTCCCTCAGGCTCTCTGGGGAAGGCGCGCGCAACCAGGGGCGGACGGATTTAAGTCCACTCCCGGAAAAGAAGAAATAGGAAAAAAAAAAAAAAAAAAGACTGCCCGAGATCTCGCGCACGGGACCCGGATGCGAAGCTGAGTTAGAAAGCTTAGCTCTTCGCTCCGCATTCTCATACGGCAGAAGTGTTGGGGAGGGGCGGGCAGAGAGGCGGCTACACCGTCCTCTGACGGTCTGGAGGTCTGCTACAATGTTTCTGAGTACTGTAGCGTCCTGTGGATGTCTTAAGTTTTGGAGCTTGCTCGTGCGATCAGTTGAAGATGAAACAACAGAGTATCTTTATGGAATATGGTGGGGATGACTGGTTCTACTCTGGGGATGATAGGAACTGTAGTCCAACATAGGTGAAGGACACCAGATAAAGGAATATATTTATTGTTGATTTGTTACACTCCACCTGACAATACCTTATGAAAGCACTTGACTAAAATTAACAACAATAGAATATTAAAAAGTAAAAGCATATATTTAAATTTAACAAAAGACTGACAAAAAAGATGTGGCTTTAGAGATTTTTTCTAAAGGTAAAGAACAAATAAAAACTGACACCCTCAAGACACAGGATGTTGACTCCTGTTCACACCCAAGCGGTTTACTTGGCAATGGTACCAAAGTGGTTTGCCATGGATTTCTGGGATGTTTTCCAATTTCCTAATCTAGCCTACGGTCCTGCTATGGCCTGGCGGTTTCTCATTCAAATCCTATCCACATTGGACCTTGCTTAGTTTGAGTTTTTAAAAGCTTGCTTGGGTGTTGCCACTAGAGGCAAATGCAGTTCCTTCAGTATGTTTTCACATCTTGGGGGCAGCACAGAAGGCTGCCTTCCACATGCCACAAAGGCTGATCTCTGATTATTGTGCAAGGGTATCTTCAAAAGTCCATCTGCTTCAAAAGTTAACAGCTGGAGAGGAAGAGAAGGAAAGCAGGCTGAAAGGAAGGAAGAGGAAGTCCCTTCGATCAGAGGTTTTTAATTTATTTCAGGCCATTGAATCTTTAAAAAAACAAAAAAAACCACCCTGGAACCCTTGAGAGTAATAGGGTATTTGGATGTCAGAGGACAAGCCCTGATCTTTCTAATATAACTCAAAAAAATGCTATAGATATGCCTAAAAAACAGCATTGAGGCCGACATACACGGCTGAGCTCATTAGAGTTTTCTTTCCCTAGGAACCAACTCTAAATGCAGTCAGTTGTTCATACCTTGGTGCTGTTTTTCACGGAGCTCCAGAGCAACTTTTCTATGCAACTATGAAGAAAAAAATCCCTCTACACAAGAGACTAATGGAGAAAATCGCCCTCCCTACAAGGATCAAAGTTTAGGTCTTTGTGTGAAACTTTTTTCTCAGTCCCACAGAACCCATTTAACTCTTCACGGAACCCTAGGATTCCACAGAATCCAACCTGCAAAACCTCACCTTAGGTAGGGAGATCTATGAACCAGTACAAAGAAGAGCAAGGGAGGCCAGCGATGGCATGCACGATAGTGTCATCATACTAACACTGCAATTTGTGTTAGCTATTGGACATTAGTATATAGTGGCATTTGCCTGGTATCAATCAATCAATTTTTATTTATTTTGTTTGGTGATATCACGTACAGGTATTTCTCAATTTATGATCCTTTGTTCAGAGACTGTTTGAAGCTACAATGATGCTGAACAAAGGGACATATGTACTGTAAAGTTATGGCCACTGCAGTGTCCCCCTAGTCATGTGATCAAAACGTGGGTACTTGGCAGCCCACCTGCACTTATGATCACATGGGCTTTGTAGTTCCCATCTGCCTATCTTCCCCTTACCTATGCCATTTTGCTGCCCTGCTGCCCTTGTGGCTCACCCCCTCCAGCTGATCTTCACTATTTTCTTCCTGTTGCTGATGAGGCATGCCCAGTCGGGCTGCCAGGTTGGTGAATGAAAGTCAACACCAGCTAAAGAACTGACAGCTGTGGTTGTATGTTGTTGTGTATATAATAATAAATTTATAATACCTCCCAACTCCCACTAATGAAATTAATTTTAAATGTTGACCTTTCCTTCCAGGTAGTTTTCTGTTAAGCATCATTAAGCTTATATTCCTACCAGGTTGTGGTGGAATCTTGAGCAGAATTGAGAAGAGAATCTCATTTCAGCTGCTTCTACACCAGGGGTCTTCAAACTTGGTCCTTTTATGACCTGTGGACTTCAAGTCCTAGAATTCCTCAGCCAGCCATGCTGGCTGAGGAATTCTGGGAGTTGAAGTCCACAAGTCATAAAAGGGCCAAGTTTGAAGACCCCTGTTCTACACCATCAGTGATTCAAGACTAACCAGCCTTTTCATTCTTCACCTCAACTCTGCTCAAGATTCCATCACAGATGTACAGAGAGTTCCTAGGACATTTTATGCTTCCACAGGATATTGCACATCATTCCTTCTTTAAAATTCAATTTAAATTGGGAATCATTTATGCACTACAGGTAGTCCTCAATTTACAATCATTCCTTTAGAGTTTCCTTGCTGGTATGTGGTATTACAGAAGCTAATTATTCTACTGTATATTGTTTTATTACTTCCTTGGAATCCTTATTTGTATGAAGTTCTCAAATAATTCCCCCAAAATTGGGCAATACACTATAAAGAGATAGTGGAATAGAAGACAAAGAATTGGAGAAGATCACAAAGTATCAAGGTCTGAAAATCAAAGTTAAAAAAATTAACTGCAGTGATTCGCTCCACAATTGTGATAAAAAAGTCATAAAATCAGATGCAATCACGTGATGCCTCATTTAACAATTGTACTGCTTAATAATATTTTTTTTGGTCTCATTTGTGGTCCTAAATTGAGGACTATCTATATAGCTTTACACATGGACTTGTACTACATCTGAACTTCAGGGTTTTTTTAAAAAACAAACAAACATAAGACTTTAAGCTATTAGCTGTTGCTGATCTATGATAATACAGACAGACTTTCTCAGATTAGATAGAAATCCTATTAAATGTTTATTTTGATTGATGATTCTTACCATTCTTATCATACTGTTTCCTTTTACTAACAATTGAATGTGAGTTTAATAACAGTGTTGGAATGCTAAATTAATGTAAGTTCCTCTTTATGTGCACTATTAGTCTAATTTTACTTTCAAAATTCTTACTTAATTTTATATATCCTGTAAATCTCTTCTGGTTGTTCTTTGTTCTTTTATTTTTTTTTCTCACTTGTGTTATTAAATATTAAAGTAAAATAATTTAAGTAGAAGAGGTTGGGATACCTGTTACCAAATATTAAAGTGCTAATTTGAGTACATTCAAATGTTTTGTGTTTTCATCAGAGCACATAAAATAATAGGTTCACTTGTAATCGGGAGATCTCAATGAAGCTGTCCGTGATATTAATGGGCATGTTTACTTAGGCAAGGAAGCCAACTGGGTCAGCTACTGCTTCTCAGGTCTAAGCTAGGAAGTGAAAAAAACACATTTACTGCCCATTGCTGGACCAACATCAGTGGTGGGATTCAGATATGTGAACAACCGGTTCTCTGTGTGGATGCTGCTTCCGGAAGTCCATTCTGGGCTTGGGCAACAAAAAATTAGCTACCAGTTCTGCCGAAGTGGTACAAACTGGCTGAATCCCACCACTGACCAACATGGTAGATTATTGTCCATAATCTTCATTGAAAAGACCACCCTGCAGCACATTGACTTGGAATGATAATGATAATACTATAGAAAATATGGGATAATGGATCCTGTGTACTTCAAACCGACAGTGTAGTTGAGTCCAACAGAAAATGCAAAGTAATCCTATGCACACTTACTGAAGAGGAAATTTCACTACAAGGAGTTCTTGTCTTATGACCACAAGGGAGACCAAAATTTCCATTGCTAAGCAAGACAGTTGTTAAGTGAATTTTACCTCATTTTACAACCTTGTCGCAGTTGGGTGAATCACTGCAGTTGTTAAGATAGTGACATGGTTATTAAGTGAATCTGGCTTTCCCATTGACTTTGCTTGCAAAAGGTGATCACATGACCTCGGGACACTGCAACCATCATAAATACATGCCAGTTTCCAAGTATCTGAATTTTGATCACATGACCTTGGGGATGCTGCAATGGTCATAAGTGTGAAAAATGGTCACAAGTCATTTTTTCAGTGCTGTTGTAACTTCAGACAATCACGAAATGAATGATTGTAAATTGAGGACTTGTCTCATGAATGAATCTTAGGATATAGCCACCATATTCCCCTAACTTTAGGTTGACCTTGCCTCACTAATTGCTTTTTAAGGAAGTGTCTCCTCTTATCTCTGGCCTCTAACTTGGGGTTTCTCATTCTATTGGAGATATATTTTCCATCTTCTCTCTATACAAACCTTGCTGAATATATGATTTGGCTGAGTTGGTCAAGCAACCGCTATGATGAAGTGGCAAGAACTGGAATGTATCCAGCAACTTTTGGCTGCTGTATGCATGCTACCATTCCAGTCACTGTTGATTTTCTTCTATGGCTGTTTCGATTTGTGCTATTGAACTAACACAGGGGTCTTCAAACTTGGCCCTGGCTGAGGAATTCTGGGAGTTGAAGTCCACAAGTCATAAAAGGGCCAAGTTTGAAGACCCCTGAACTAACATGACCACAGAAGAAAAGCAGCAGCAGCAGCAACAACAGTTGTAACTAAGGAAAATAAGATCAGGCTTCTTTTAAACAACCTGCACATAGGTCTCAGACCCATGGGATTACCGTAGTTGTTTTTTGAAAGTTTGTATTCTACAGTACAGCTTCCTCTGAGGCTGCTTTAATAATCTGCTTGCAGTTTGCCTCTCCAGATATGTAAGTCAACAAATGCTTCTAGAGCGATCTTGGTTTATCTGCTATCACTAAAGCAGCACTAAGATTACTTGAAAACGGGTAGACTAGGCCCTCTGTAAAGTAACCTGTCAATTGGGGCGTTTTTTTCTTGCAATGATCAGACAGCTGGGTCCCACCAAATTCACAAGAGCAGTAGCTATATTTAATGGTTTTGATAGGTGGATAAATCCACTGCTAGAACCATTTGTAAAATTCACTTCCTCCCAAGGCCCAGCTCATATCTTGAGAAGTGACTGAAATCCACCAATTCCTGCACCTTAATATATCCTGCAGTGAACTGTTATGACATTACTGTACCATTTGCTGTCCCCCTTACTAGACAGAATATAGGCAAAAATACAGAATATAGGCAAAAATAGGAGCTCATTTTGGTAGCCTGCTTTTGCAGACTCCCCCCCACCCCCTGAAAGACATATGCTGTATACATGGCTGCAGTCCTGAGGTTGGGGCAAAAAAAAAAAAAGAATTCATCAGGCTCATGAATGTTCATCATTTAAGGACTCCAAGTAGGTGGCTGGTTGAAAAGCCTGGTGAAAAAAAAATACTATAGCCCCAGGTGATGTCAACATTCTGCCAGTTTTCTGATCTATGCGAGGTGAATTGATCGGGGTAAATGAGCACACAGGTCTGATCTAGCCCTGTTCCAAGACACTAACATTGGCGCTTTCCCACTTGGCAAACGGAGCTTATTCTCCAGTTGCCATCAGTTTAACCAGTCTCGATCTTAACCCCTCGCCTCCCCAGAAGCGTTTGCTACAGGCGTGTGGGCGGCACCTCTCCTTCCGTTCACTTTCAGCCTCCGGGGGGGGGGGGGAGAGAGAGAGAGAGAGAGAGAGGGGTTGGTCACAGGTTTCCTCCTCCTGACACTCTTCCAGAGCCACACTTCCTCCGGCACTTTGCTTTGAACGCCGCTCCTTCTCTCCTCCAGAGGTAAGTCTGGAGTATGAAGGTGAGCTGATGTCGGCATCCACAGTCACGCGGCCGACGCGCGGGGCGGGTGGGAGGACGGCAGGGGAGCCGCAGAGCAAAGTCCGCTTCGTGTTTGCGAGCCGGGGGTCTCTTTGTCAGGCGCATGGAAGGCGAGGTTGGCGGCAGCCGGCACTTCCGCGCCGGCGCCATGTGATCCTCCACGCGGATGGAAAGGGCAAGGCAGGAGAATCCACCTTGGAGGGAAGTCCTCGAGGGTCCCCTTTGGCAGGCGCCGGCGATTGCTGGGGGGGGGGGCGAGGGGTTTGTCCCAGGCGGGCGCAAGAACCGGTAGCAACTGGCGGCGCGGCTGATATTCTGCTTTGCGCAATTGCCAGCGGAAGGGCTCCAGCCCTAGACGTGCATGGCTTGCAGCTGGGATGCGAGCCCTACAGAGACGCGGGGACTTGCTTCCGGAGAAGCAGGCTTGCTTGGGGATCGGGGTTTATTATCCCATTGCTTGCCCGGCGGCTGTACCTGCGCCCTTTCGCTTTCTTAGCCCCGCCAGGCGTCTTTAGGCGAACCGTTCGCGCTCCCCCTCCTTCCTCCTCTGCAAGTTGCATTTCCCACCCGCTGCTGGTTTCCTTTGCCTGCCTTCTCCGCCAGCTTCTCCCTCTTTCTGGATGTAGGGAACCCGAGGGGCGCAGAGGAACAGGTGAAAGCGGTTTTGTTAAATCTCGAGGAAAGGAACGCAAAGCGAGAAAGATGCAGAGAAGATTTTCAACTTGTTGAAAGCTTTCCTTAGCTGAATACAGAAGCTCCCTGACCATAGTAGAGAAGCCATGCAGCCGTTAAAGCATCGGGCTGAAGACCATGAGTTTTAGTCATGCTTTGGGCATGAAGCCAACTGGGTGCCTTTGGGCCAGTCACTCACTCTCAGCCCTAGGAAGCAGGCAATGGCAAAAATATGAAATCTTACCGGGAAAATTGCCGGACTTGTCAGGCAGTCACTCACACACAAACCACATATGACCAAATTAGGGTGTGCATTGCACCAGGAAGGAAATTACTCAACGTGTTGTTCCTATTCTAGTTGCAGAAAAAAAAAAAGAATTGAGAAACGAATATACTCCTAAGGCACGAAGCCAATGAAAAGTCCCAGGTTCCTTTCTCTCCTAAAATAAATGTAAGGCACTTGCATACCATTGCTTGCCATTTTTATTCCTTTGTGAGAAGGAAGCATCTTAAGTCAGGATTCAGTTACGCCAGCTCTATGACTGTTTGAAAAGGTAAACAAAAAACATTCCCTTAACATTTGAAATAATATGCACACTTAAGTAATTATCACCTGCCTCATCTCTGCTCTTTGAAGTGAAAGGAAACATGTTTGTTGACTGTGCTAGTAACATCACATACTTTGTGTGGAACTATAGGAGTTTGTTTGCCTAGGATGCAGTTGTACAAGTTTCTTAGGTGTAAGTCTCATCAAACTTAATGAACTTTTCATTAGACATGCATATAAAATTTCAATTTTGGGACCTCATTTCTTTCTTCCTTTTTTTTTTTTTTTTTAAAAAAGACAGCTTCTTATAGTGAAAAGACTTGTAGGAGAGAGGTGTTAAGACTGACAGCCAAAAATCAGGAGTCTGGTAGCACTTTTTCTGATTAAGTGAATATTGAATTTTCTGAAGATAATTGCTGCAATACGAAGCAGGGGCAGTTCTCCTATGTGGGTGGATCCCTGTACAGATTTTGAGTAGTCTTGTCAGGAAACTGCCATTGGTTAGCAAAATAATAATATATATATTCCCTATTTGCTTGAACTAGTTTATATAAATGGAACGCTGCTCTTGCAATGCCTTTTGATGTAGAAGATTTTGAAGAGGTGGTACTTCGGTAAAGTCTGGATCAGGGGTCTTCAAACTTGGCCCTTTTATGACTTGTGGACTTCAACTCCCAGAATTCCTCAGCCAGGCCCGCTGGCTGAAGAATTCTGGGAGTTGAAGTCCACAAGTCATAAAAGGGTCAAGTTTGAAGACCCCTGGTCTGGATGCTATGGTAGATACCAATTTGTTGATGATACTATACCTATTAATAGCTTAGCAAAACTCTTAACTTGTACCGGCATTCTCGACATATAGAGACCATTTGAAGTTACAACAGCAGTGAAAAAAGTAAGTTACAACTTGTACTTACGAACTTCGTAGCATTCCCATTGTAATTAGCGTGCTTGGCCACTGGCATTATTTACAATGGTTGCAGCATCCCAGGGTCACGTGTTTGCTGCTTACAACCTTCCCAGCTGGCTTCCGATAAGCATTTGCTGCTTGCACTCTTCCCAGCTGGCTTCTGATAAGCATCGTCAATGGGGAAAGCCAGATTTGCTTATTAACTGCATTCTTCACGTACAACTGCAGTGATTTGCTTAACAATCCCGGCAAAAAGGTCATAAAAACAGGCATGACTCACTTAACAAGCACGTAGCAACTGAAATTCTAGTGCCAATTGTAGTTGTAAATCGAGGACTACTATAGAGGTCTGTTGAAGAAAGCTAGTTAAAAGGGTGGCAGCTTTTCAAGTTGTTTGTGTTCTTATCTGGTTATGGTGAAATTATGTTGAAATTCTGCATTTGCACTGGTAATATAGTGTATTATATGAAAGTAAGTAAGTTCTTTTTCCCAAATGAGTTATATTTTAAAGTAGAAACTTCATCTTAGATTTGCTCTGCAAATAGGAAAAGGGGCAGGCAAGATATATTTTTTTTTGCTCAAATCTCCAATTAAGGGGAGGAAAGGGAAGAATTACCTTAAATGCAGGATCATGTGCTTTTCAGAGAAATATAATGCTTGAAATAATTGTTATGCTATTTAGGTACAGAACAGCCCCTTTTGCTACATCTCCTAATAATATCATTCATCATTTTAGCCATTGTCTATCCCAGTGGTTCTCAACCTGTGGGTCGGGACCCCATTTGGGGTCAATCGACCATTTCATGGGGGTCGCCAAGCAAGGCTGTCCGCCATTTTTTTTGTCCGCCATTTTTTTTGTCTGCCATTTTTTCCCCCTTTTCCGGCGGGTGCCTTACCTCCCTTGGGCTGGGCCAGCTGGTGGTCGGCCTGCTCCGTCTCTGCCGCTTGCCAGCTACGCCTCAGCCGGCGCAGGGGGCGGAACCATGCATGTGCGGCGCTCCCGGGCAGGGAAAGTCCTTGACTTACGACCGGTTGGGTAGTCCTCGACGTACGACCGGTTTAGTCCTCGACTTACGACCGGTTTAGTCCTCGACTTACGACCGGTTGGGGTCGCGGCATTAAAAAGATTGAGAACCACTGGTCTATCCACTGCAGGACGAAGGCCTCTTCAGTATATTTCCAAACAATATGGTCCTGAGCTTTCTTTTGCCAATTGGGCCTGCAATGCTTGCTGAGGTCATTGATCCAACTTGTTTTAGGTCTCTTTCGTGGATGTTTTTTTTAATCAAGTGGGATCCATTCTATGACTGCCTTGGTTCACCTCCCATCAGTTTTTCTTGCTATGTGGCCTGCCCATTTCCATTTCAATTCTTTTACAAGAGAATAAAAGTAAAAGAATTTCCTAACATAAAGGCATTTTAAATACTAGGATATTTAACACAAGTAAATGCTTTATATATACAGGTACCCCATGCATTTTGAGATTTTCCTTTGCAAAATATGCAGCATTTTATCTGACTTCCAAATACGTAAGTCGCTTAATAAGAAAGATAACTGTCTCTTTGAGAATGTGAACTGATAAAAAGGACCCCCCGTCCCCCACATGCATTCATTGTGTCCCTAACTGCACATGAATCTTCTTTTAAAGTCTCAATACATGTTTTGAATATGAAAGAAAATGAAAAAGAACAAATTTATAAGGCAATAATTTATTTGTAGGTTACAATGAATGTTGAACGTGAAATCAACCTGTTAGTTGAAGAAATTCGAAGGCTGGGGACCAAAAGTAAGTATGACTAAATGGCTGTAGAAGGAATGCAAAATTAATAGACTAAATGTGTTAAGACTATAACTGACATAATTTCCAATGTATATTAGTCTAATGTTTCTCGAAGGCACTGTACTGGAGAAAATCTCCAATGTAGGAGAACCTACAGAGAAAGCCCCATTTGAAAAGTAGGGTATAAAACTCAAGATACAAGATTTTGCTCTTAAAACATGGAATAGATTGGATGGAACTCAATAAAGAGTTCTGGCAACAGTTCAAACATTAAAGGAAGTGGTTAAGGCTTTTGCCTCAAGCCAATCTGATAAAAGTTTAGTTACAGAATGTAAATTATTGTCTATGTGCCAGCAAGTTGGTCTTTCAATGGTCACCACTTATCACCACTTTAATTAAGCCATCCTCTATCTTTATTTCTACCTTTCCCAATATTATAGACTTCTCCAGAGAATTTTGTCTCCACATAATGTATCCAAAGTGAGATAATTTGAAACCTGTGAGAACTCTGAATTGATTGGTTTGATGATCAATTTGTTTGCTCTTAGCTATCCAAGTCCAGAGAACTTTTCCAACACCAATAGGATATAAGTATTGACACTAAAGAGATAATAAGAACAGCATGGGAGCCCCCAGACTATTTAAGCCTGGATTTTCCCCCCATAATTTTCCCGCTTTTCAAATAAAACTGGATTCTTATGTGCATGTTGGTTTCAATTCAAATTGCTAGTGTTAAGTTTAGGTTTTAACCAATAGTCTATTGCTTATTTGTAGGTTTGTAGCAGTTTGTAAATTCTGGAAAGGGCATTTAAATGCAATCTTATTTTTTCCCCACTGACTTTAATTTCAGGAGATATTCATGTTTACTAATCACAACAGGTTAAAAAAATAAGTGTTTTTTGTTGCTTTTAGCTTAGTGTATTATGCAAATTGTGATTTGTAAAATATTTTTATAACTTACCTGTAGGAAAACCCATCTAGTTGTGATTTATTCAACAAACCATGGCTAACACATATGAAGCCAGATTATTAATCGTGACTACCTTGAGTTACTTTGGACCTAAATGATACCAGATTTTCATGAGTATTATTCAATATATAGTCACAAAGCAGTTTTCGGTGATTAAAAATGTAAAAATGGGGAAGATTAACTTTTAAAAAAAGAAGTGTTAAAATGTGTTTTTTCTAACCTTAAGTTAAAGATTTTTCTTGATACCTTCTTGAGCAGCATCAGCAAACCTAAAATAATGTTGCAGATTGCTCATTTGATATAGTTTGCTATTTGATCTAATGGATTTGGATTTAGTAATAATTTTTACTGATATGTGCCTCCAAGTGTATATTCTGTTTAAAAGTTAACATATTGGTTGTATTTTCACATTTACATTGTGATGAATTGGGGTACAGATACAGTAATCTTATTAAATGAAATCAGAAACCTTAAAAATCCCCAGGTCCAAAGACTTATTGGAACTAAAGTGTTAATATGCCGTTTCATCCTCATGTTTTCTTTTGTCCAGATCCTGATGGGACATTGAGTGTGAAGTTTGGAGTGCTGTTTGCGGATGAGAAATGTGCCAACCTTTTTGAGGCTTTAGTGGGAACCCTGAAAGCTGCAAAACGACGGAAGATAGTTAATTATCCTGGAGAGCTGCTTTTGCAAGGAGTTCATGACAATGTTGATATCTTGTTATTGCAGGATTAGTTACTTTCCTAGCAAATGGCATTTTTTAGGTATCTATATGTAACTCAGATCAAAATGCATTTGATTGAAAGTATATCTTCCTATTTATCTTTATAAAATTATATATAAAACTTCCTTGAAGGCCTATTAAGAAATTCTTTTCTGAAACCCTTGCTACATCATAGTTTGTTGGACCTTTTGGGCTGGGGGTGGGGGGAATTTGGGAATGACATTCTCAAATGTATGAAATGTTGTTAAACTTTGAGAATTCCTTACAAATTAGCAATATTAATAACCTAAACCCTGCTTCAAACTTCCAAAGATGGGTTTATGGGGGATTCTGCAAGAATCAAAGTTACTATGGCCAAATAAAGTATTCAAGCTGGTAGTTCCATCTGAAACTGAATATTTAATACGGTCTTTTTATGCAATGCTTGAAACATAGGTTTCTCATGTGACACTTTCTGAACTGTGATACTTCAGAGGAACTGTAGAAAATTATAAAAGCAATGGCAGGCAGAGGAATTCTCTTGCTTTTTTTTTAATGTATTCTCATTAATGAAGGAGAGCATGTTACGGAAATCACTTCAAAGGAGAAAATAATTTAAGAGAAATTTGTCCCTGATGTGTTATTTTTGCACTTAAGTTAGTTATAAAGTGACCAAGACAAAGTGTTTTGTCTTTTATTATTACAAGCATCTCCAGCAATCGGCAAATCAGGTATAAATTAAATTCTGAGGAAACATTCCAAAGGCTATTTGGATATTTTCTTTGGCAGTGCTTCATTGCTAAATGGGAGTCTTGCTGTTGAGAAATTGTCCATCCAGTTTCGCCTCACACAGATTTGAGAATCTCAAAAGACCATTTTGTCTAACTCATAGAATATTCCTTTTCTCAGGGTGAAGCTAGAAAGAGAAGTGGGAGGACACTCCTCCTATTCCTCAGATTCCAGTTTCTCTGTAAGGCTCATTACTTGACGATGGTGCCCTTCTGGGGAATAGGAATACCTTAGACCAGGGGTAGGCAACATTGGCTCTTTTATGACTCGTGGACTTCAACTCCCAGAATTCCTGAGCCAGCATGGCTGGTTCAGGAATTCTGGGAGTTGAAGTCCACGAGTCATAAAAGAGCCAAGGTTGCCTACCCCTGCCTTAGACAAACAATAGATTACTTCAGGTAGCATTAAGTATTGTCCAAACTGTTGTTAAGGCAAGTTCAGTCCTTTTCTATTTGGTCTGTTTGAGAAAGAAGTGGAATAGGTTGTGGGAAATGCTCTCTGAACCCTCCCTGGCACGGAGTGAATACTTGAAAGATAGAACATGACATAAAATGAGACTGCTTCATAAAGGACATGCACATGTGAAATGGATAGAATTGGACAAGACCCTCTTACAGAAGTCCATTCTTTCAGTTCTTTTTTACAAGATGACTGAAGTGCACTTCTTATTACTATAGTTCATCTAGGAAACTAGCAAATCGTCAATTCTTTCTCCCCTCCCCTCCTCCCCAAATACTTGAGGACTGAAGACTGTCTAAATGGCACAACAGTGTCACAATACATTTTGTCTTTTGCTTCTTATCTTCTTATTCTATGCATTTTGCATGATCCTTTTGTGTCTAATGGATTCAGTGGCTAGCAAAAGGGCTTCAAAGTAAAATATCTTATTCATCAATAAATAGAAATCTAGGAGTTATTTTTAGCTATTTAATTCTGTGAGAAAAATGCCTTTAATTAAATAAATATTTCATGTACACCAGGAAAATTTGGTCTCAAAAATACATATTTTTGGTATTTACAATAAAATATTTCCAATTCTCGCCAGTGTGGTTTGTTTCTTCAGGTTTGGAGTAGCTCACCTGAGCACTGGAATTCTTATTTTGTAAGAATCCTCTTTGCCAATTCTGTGCACACTTGTATTGACTTCTTCAAAATTGATGCGTTCAAGGAAAAGAAAATATAGTTTGTTATGGTGACAGTGGAGAATAGGAAAGCGTCAAATGGTACTCAATCTGAAAAGTTGCTTTGATGCTTCTGAAGGAATTTAATACAGTATTTTCCTCTCTGGAATGTTTTACATATTTGTTTAAATAATGCATTCTGTGTTAGGAATGATCTTATTAAAGTTATGATGCAAGGTTAAAGACATGAAAGAGAAGCATTTGACCTTTCAATATGCCTTAAAATAGCTGGAAAATGTTCCTGCCTGAGCAGAGGGTTGGACTAGATGACCTCCAAGGTCCCTTCCAACTTTATTATTATTATTATTAAGGCAGATAAACAAGGAAACAATGCATCAGTGCATTAAGGTATTAGTGTCTGATTTCAAAACAAGATAGTTTCCTATGGAAAGTCTTCATGTCTTTGAATTAACTGACAGCTGGCTGACTAAAATGCTAGAGGTTTCACTCACATTTTTTGATTAAAGTTTATGTTCAAAGGATACACTTCTACAATTTTAAGATCCTAATCATTTCTCATTTTTCAAAATAATTGTACAGCATAGGCATTTTTTTATGATTTATGGTTATTGCAATTTTACTTTAGGAAATAGGAAAAAACCTAAAAGAACAAAGTTCCAGCAGTTTAATTATGAATTAATATGATACATAAATTGAACCATAGCACTGCCATATATTTGCTTGAAAAGTTTATATTGTAAAAGCTCAAATGTTGGTTTGGTATAGGGAAGACCCAGTTTCCACCCTCAGTCAAAGAAGCTTACTAGGATACATGTGATTTTTCTCTCAGCCCAATGCACTACATCAGGGGTGTCAAACTCAACTTCATTGAGGGCCGCATCAGCATTGGGTTGCCCTTGGGGGGGTGGGGTGGGGGTGTGTGGCCAGGGTGGGTGCGGCCTACTGGGTGGGTGTGGATGGAGTGGGTGTGGCCTACTGGGTGGGCATGGCCAGCTCTACATTGTTCGCATCAAGGGTGCCTGTGGGGGCCTGGGCAGGAGTGGGACAGATCTGAGGGTCTCTGGCAGAAGGGGATGGGATCGGGGCAAGCGCCAAGGCATGGTCCATTTCTTCATTCCTCACAAAGGGTGACACCTCCCCAGCATGCACCCAGGGGGCAGGGCCGATGCGGCAGCGGCTGGTTCCTCACTGTTTCTAGATGGCCTTGTGGAGCTAAGACTGAATGCGTTTCAGCATAGATGGCCACCACAAAATTGTACATTGGCTCCCTCCCAGCCGGCCTGGGCCAAGGCAGTGGGGGCCGTTCCCTCACTGTTTCCAGGATGGCTTCGCGGGCCACATGAAAGCACTTCGCGGGCCGCATCCGGTCCCCGGGCCTTGTGTTTGACATGTCTGCACTACATAGAGCAGTCGTTTTGTGTAAAAATGAGAGTATTATGTACACTGCCCTGAGGGTCTGAAGAAAATGTTGAATATAATTCTAATAAACTGCTATTGAGACTTGAGAACCAAATATAATGAGCTGTAACAATGTAAAAAACAGCAGCAAAGTTTCTGATTAAATTATAAGGTGGTGTGGTCAAAGTTACCTAACTTTTTAATAAATCTGGATGAGTTCACAGCCCAATTTTTATCAGTTACAGCTTATCAAATTAAGCAAAACTGTCTGGCTTTACGAGTTAAACCAAAATGAAAACTAATCAGAGTTTAGTGTGATGTGGAAATCCATTCTCATCTAATTGGCTATGGAGATTCTCAGTCATCCAGGTCATAGTTGTACTTTTTTAAGAGGCAACTGGAATTTCTTGTTTTTCTTTGAAGATATTTTGCTTCCCAGGAATATCTGAAAAGCTCAGGAGGATCTTCAGCCAACACAACATACGTGCACACTTTAAACCCAAGAATACACTAAGGCAGAAGCTTGTCTACCACAAGGATAAAACACCAACACAGACTGAGCAACGTGGTATATGCAGTGCAGCACAGTGAGACTTGTGCAGATCTGTACATGGGGGAAACAAAACAACCATAGGCACAAACATAGGAGAACAAACCCATCAGGACAAGTTTCAGCAGTCCATCTGCATATTTCAAAGACAAATGCCACTCTTTCAAAGACAGCAAAGTCCACATTTTGGACTGAGAGGACCCTTGGTTTGAAAGAGGGGTTAAAGAGGCCATCTATGTCAAAACTGAATAGCCCTCTCTCCACAAAGGGGGAGGGATAGGACGCCATCTATCTCCAGTCTACAGCACAGTCCTTTCAGCAGTTTTAAGAAGGCTCATTTGCACTACTGAGGACACAGATAAACCTCCAGATGGCCTCAACAGCTCTCTAAAAGAATGCAAATGACCAGCTGTCTACAAGGAATATAAATCCTTCCGTTCCCCACCATCCAGTCAGAGCTAAGAAGCTTCTTAGATGAGAAGTGAAACATCTTCAAAGGAAACAAGGAAGTCCAGTTGCCTCTTGAAAAAGCACCTTTGGGACATTCTCATCTAGTGCTATGAAAATTATTTCAGCAAATATGTGCTGGAAATGCAGCAATGGGTTGGAAAACAAATCAAAGCCCAGAAATGCAATTAAGAGCTGTGTTTTCCACTGAAGACAAACNGTCAGGGTAAAGAATAACTCAATGGGAGAAACCATTTATAGGCCAGCCAACGCCTGCGCCCTAGAAACTTTTAACTGTTTTACATACACCTACCAGCACTGGCCCTCATCACACATTTAGAATAATGTAATATGCTGCAAATGGGGCTGCTTCCGAAGACTTATCAGCTGATAGGAAAGGAAGCTATTAACAGATGAGAGCAACAACTGCAATGCAATCAATGCTGGCTCAAGGTATATGGAACCCCAGGCCACACTGAGCCACTTTCCACTGATGCAAAGATTTGCAGTTTTAGAATGATTCAGTAGGAAGGGAGCCTAGGTTTGGGCACCTAAGACTAAGACTAGTGCCCACTCTGTCTTAGCTTAAAGCGCCAATTCTTTAGTTGCTGCATTAATAACCAAACAGCCATCTTATTCAAGGAATGGGATGTTACAATTTATGGCTTGGCTCTGAGATACCTTATGGCAGTGATGGCGAACCTTTTAGAGACCGAGTGCCCAAACTGCAACCCAAAACCCACTTATTTATCACCGGGTGCCAGGTGGGCGTGGCCCACTGGGTGGGCGTGGCTGTGGTCATGGCAGACTGGGTGGGTGTGGCCAAGGTGGGTGTGATCACCTCAATGTTGCTCATGGGGAGGGACGCCTGTGGGGACCGGGCAGGGTTGGGGGAGACCCAGGGGGTCTCTGGCAGGTGGGGCGGTGGGCAGGAGGCTCTCCTGCGGGGTGAGGCAAGGCGAGGCAGGGCGGGGGTGCCATTGTCACAGGGCAAGGTGAGGTAGGGGCTGGGGCGGCTGCTGCCTGACACCATCGGCCCCTGCACACAGAGGCCAGTGAGTGCATGGGTGCTGGGATGCATCCAGCCACATGGGGCTTCGGCGAGTTAGCGGGCGGCTGGTTGAAGAGGGACAGTTGCCATCTCCGGGGAATGGCGCATGTGCCCACAGAGAGGGCTCTGAGTGCTGCCTCTGGCACGCGTGCCATAGGTTCACCACCACTGCCTTATGGTCTATCTTTTCCAAAGGAATGTGCCTAGTCTCAGCAAACAAGAAGGGTATTTATAGTCCTGCCTGATCAAGAGACCAAAGGCATAAGGCTCCAAGGGCAGAGGTTTTTTTTTTTTAAGTGGGTCCTGTTATGGAACACTTTACCCTAAGGAGGTCTGCTAGGCCCTGTCTTTATTTGCTTTTCACTGAGGCATGAAAACAGTTCTGTGGCACCAGGCATCTGGCAGTGGACATTTAGTATTGTATTATGACTGTATGGCACTGGGCTGTTATTTTTATTCCACTAACATTTAATATACATGTAGATATACACTCTCTCACACATCTTTATATTTAAAGCTATTACACATGCAAACATAGGCTTTTAATTCTATTGTAAACTGCTCTGAGTTTAGGGAGCTGGGCAGGTCATAAATTCATATAAACTGACTAATCTCCATCCAGGAGCTGGATCACC